CTGGAGCTGATCACAGGCCAGAAGGCCATGAAGGATGTGCATATCACGAGTCTGGCTGCCCCTTTCCTGGAAGATACCCAGATGATGCCGCTTATGGTTGACTCGGCGCTTGGCGGGTTTTTCAACCAATCAGAGTTGATTGAGCTGGCGACAATCGCGAGGGACTGTGTAAAAGAGGATTCGAACAGCCGCCCAACGATGCTGGAGGTGGTGAGGACGATGGAGGGGAGTATCGAGCTCGCCGTTGACTTGTTTGACCCGCTTGACTCAGCGGATTCTGGTGCTGGGAGTGCTAAGGCTGGGACCCCGAAGACTGGCGGGGCGGGGTATGCGGCGCTGAGTGGTGGGTCGGGGATTGCGGGGGATGCGATGGGAAGTGGAGGGGTTGGGAGCGGTTCGGGGGTGAGTGGGAGGCAGGGCAGTGGGGGTGGGACGTGGGCTTCTCTGGAGTTGTTTTCAGGGTCGTTTGGGAGGCGGTCGGGACGTGAGAGGGAGGCGGGAGGAGGGAGGGGAGGAGGGGCGGGACAGGGAGGGGTGGAGAGGGGGGATGTTGAGGCAGGGTCGTCGCTGCTGTATATTACCCCCAAGGATGCGTAGCAACCAGGTGGAGGAATGAAAGCAGAGAGGTTTGAGGATAAGGGACATGGGATTATTTTTTTCCCATTTTAGAAGAACTCTTAGTAGTGTATGAGACAGAAGGGGGGGAGATTTGATGACAAGGGATTGACGGGGACGGAGAGAGGGATGTTGAGGCAGGGTTGTTGCTGCTGTATATCATTCCCCAGGAGGGGTAGCTAGCATTAGTGTGGGGAAGTGGAAGGGTGGGGGGGGGGAGGGTGGCTGTTGTGGAAAGGGCAGCACTATTGTGGAAAACAAGGAACACTGTACTGGGAAGACTGATGTGTGAGTTTCTGGTGGCCAGGATAGGATGAGGATCCTTCTAATGTGCAGTGGGACGTGGGCAGGAAGCTTCTGCGCAGTTTTGTGCAATAGTCTCGTCATCATTGCTTTGCGACCTTTTTTTCCGCTGTAGGGTTGATCCGTTATTGGATCATTATTCGCTTTAGGGTTGTTTGCAGGCATGGCCTTTTGTTCACTGACAGGAACTCTGATGCTCGGTCTGTGAATTATTTTCTAACACCCATATTACAAAAATTTGAAGTCTAGGTCAATTTATGCTACCGTCAGCCCCCGGATAGAAGCGCCCCTGGGGGTATAAAAAAACACTGTTTTTTAGGGGGTGGGCTTATAATTGAGGATTTTTAAAAGCGCCGGCGCTTATATAACGGCAAAAATGAAATTAGGTAGTTTTTACACCAATTTGTAGATCTCGTTCTGCACATTGTAATCGAGTCGAAAATATATGGGGTCGCGAATCTGATTCTCGCTCAGCTTGGCAGGGATTGATTTTTTGCCAACACATGCTGACAAAGCGACAGCACGTGCTGACTAGACGCGAAGCAAGTGAGATGTGAGTGGGAAACTGGAACTGTACTTCGCTTCCCTGGTAAGGTGAAATTCGTTTTTGTATTCGACTGATTTTCAGATATAAAATTGGCATGCGCTTATAATAGATCATGAATTTTTAGGGGGTGCGCTTATAATCAAGGACCAGATACAAGCGCCCTCATCCTTTTATAAGCGCCGGCGCTTATCCGAGGCCTGCGCTTCTATCCGGGGGCTTACGGTACCGTGATTATATAGAGAAATTGCACCATTCGTCTTCCCCTCTCCCCTAACCCACCACCTCTAATAAGTGGGCCTTCTTCCGTATCTGTCAGCCTGCCCTTCTATGTACAATCGAACTTAGCTATACAGCCTCATAATACTCTACAGCGAGGGATCCAATATCGAGGATGATAGAAGGCAGGAAGAAAAAGAAGCCAATGTGTGCCATGGCAGTTGCGGCCTTGGATCTCCCACAAAAGAAATTCCAGGGGGTGTTACCCTCGCAAATGGTTTGCTGGTAGGGAAAACCACCCTGGTCATTGAAGGTAGTTACCCCTGCTGCTGCTGCACCTGCTGAGAGCAGTAGTGCTGCTGCAATCTGTGATGCAGGGGGAAGCAAGGCGGGGCGACGAAGATGGAAAGCAAGCGTGAAAAATACAAACAAAACAGCGAAAGAGAGAAGCGGTTTATCGATTGGCAGGAGAGCCCACAGCACCCAGCACAGAAGCCCACGGTCTATGAGCAGCATCAGCAACAGGAGGCACAAAGGCCAGCATTCCCAATATAAGCATCCGCACCATCCCCACCAGACAACAAATCAACTTACGAAGTCTCCAATGATCCCGAGAATCTTGAAGATGGCCGAGTGAGGCGTCATGCCTGCTGCCAGCAGCCCCAGGTCGATGAGAAGCAGCAGCAGCGCCCAGAACCCAGCAGTCACACTATAAGCATCCTCACCACCACTCAAAAGAAATCAACTTACAATGTCTCCAATGATCCGTAGGATTTTGAATATGGCCAAGATCGATCAGTAGCAGCAGAAGCACCCGAAATCCTCATTACGAACCTCCCACATGTGCTTTGTATAACTTACAAAGTCGCCAACGATCCTTAGGATTTTGAAGATGGCGGAGTGAGACGTCATGCCGGCTGCCAGTAGTCCAAGATCGATCAACAGCAGCAGCAGCGCCCAGAATCCGGCGATGACACTGGCAGCAATGAGGTAGCGGAAGGCGTGGAAAGAGGAGTAGCTTATGCCGGCGACCTTGGCTGTCAGCATCACTGCCAACGCACACACCGCTGCAAACAGCTGGGGGTGTGGAGGGGGGCGTAAAGGGGAAAAAAGGGAGGTTGAGGCAGGGACAGCAGCAGCAGTAGCAGCAGCAGCTGAACCAACACCACCACCAGCAGCAGCAGCAGCAGCGCCCAGAAGGCGGCGATGACGCTGGCAGCAATGAGGTAGCGGAAGGCGTGGAAAGAGGAGTAGCTTATGCCGGCGATACTGGCTGTCAGCATCACAGCCAGCGCACCCACCGCTGCCAACAGCTGGGGTGGGAGGGAGACGTAAAGGGGAAAAAAGGGAGGTTGAAGCAGGGACAGCAGCAGTAAAAGCAGCACGAGCCGCACCAACACCAGCAGCAGCAGCAGCGCCCAGAATCCGGCGATGGCGCTGGCAGCAATGAGGTTGCGGAAGGCGTGGAAAGAGGAGTAGCTTATGCCGGCGACCTTGGCTGTCAGCATCACAGCTAGTGCACACACCGCTGCAAAAGCTGGGGGGAAAAGGGGAAGGGGAGGGTGAGGGGTGGTTGGGTGAAGGGGATTGAGATGATAGTTGGGAGAGGACGATTAAGAGAGGAGGCTTGGGAAGAGGTAAACAAACAGGTTTAAGGGAGGATGTTCTTACAGCGCCCCAAAACAGAGCTATCAAGGTTACCAGGACCCCAGGGTAAAGAGATTACCTGCAAAAACCGCAGAAGCGGGCTGACCCAGTGGTGGAAGGAGCGGGGGCTCTTTGCAAACATCTTCCGCTTGCCTTCCTTCCCCGCGCCTCCCCCTCCTCCGCCCCCTCCCCCTGCTCCAGGCAGCATGGCGGCTAACTCAAGTCTCGGCAGGCGCGCTCACTTCAATATCAATGGCGATGGACGGAACCTGGCGCAACCGGATGAAACTCTGACCGAACCGGACCGAACCTGGCTCTAATTGACTATTGCGCTCTCGAAGTCACCGTCCTGGTTAATGTACCACACAGCTCCTACCTGATCTTCTTCTACTGCCGCGAAGTGGAAATGAAACACAAAAGAGAGGACGACAGCATAAATGCGTTTCCTCGCTACACTCGTTAGGCTGCCGTCTCTTCCTTCCAACAAGTCGCCACACTGTCCCTCCCCGTGTACCAACATCCCTCCTCTTTTCATACGTCTCAAACTCAAAACGCATTGCGCCTCTCCGCGGGCAGGCGCACCGTCCCTGCTGACGCTACTGCGGCTGCTGCTGCTGCTGTGCAACGAGCGCGTGGGGGCAGATGGCGGAATCCATCTATGCGCGGATTACACCATGCGCTCGGCGCAGCAGCAGCAGCAGCAGCAGCACAGCGGCACCAGCACGTCGAGAGAGCAGGTTGCGCGGTAGGGTCCGAGTGGTGTACATTTGGGCGCGGGGAGCCGCCGCAATTCGCAGCAAAAATCAACATCCCATTTCCCCGCGCCCGCCACTTGCTTCGTGCGGCTCGCCCCACTTCCCCGCTCGATTCGCTCCATTTCCCCGCTCGCGTCTCGCCGCTTGCAGCCCGTCCCTTCCACTTCCCTCACTCGCTTACCCCTTTATGATTATCCCCTTGTCTCCCTCCGCTCGCTTGCCCCTCGAGGCGGGCGTGAGGAAATTCGAATTGCAAGCTGGCGATCGTCGCGAATCGAGTCGCACATTGGACATGCAGCGGGGGGCGGGTTCGTTCGATGAGCCATCTAGGCGCGCTTCGGCGGTGCCCAGCTGGGAAGGGGCTCGGCTTTTCGACCTGCAGATGACGTGGCGGTGAGAATGGTCCAGATTGACCTGTCGCCAGCTGCGGATGGCATAGATTCTCTCGAAAGGGGGTCAGATCAAGCAATTGTCAGGCTAATAGCGGGTCCCTTGAAAAGAGCACGATCGGGAGGGAAGAATAAAACAATAAAAACTCAAAGCTTGATAAATTTTGTTTATGTAAATCTAGTCATTCTAGCAAACATTGCGAAGCTTTGTGACGAGTACAATTTGAACACCTTTTCTGCACAGCAGCAATTTTTCCTCGACTTGCGTTCCTCCAGCAATTTCCCTCGCGGCCTTCTCTTAGCATCCTTCGCCACACCATTTCCTTGCTTGTGTCACTCGAAGCCTACTCCTCATCACCTAGTCTCGCGTTTAAGCGAGCAGAGTACTTTTGTTCGCATTACGATAACATTCACCGTTGCGGCCCAACCCGCGGCCAGATTCAGTGAAGCTGTCGCTATCAGGTGTTTTGTTCCTACTGGCAGTAGGCGGTTGCCAGATTCAGTGAATCTGTCACCATCATGCCGTCCATGCCGCGGCTCGGCATGTTCTGGGCGGCAGCGCTCGGCGTGGGGGTCGTCACCTGCGCGGTCGTCTTCGTCCGTCAAAAGAGCCCAACGTTTTCCGTCAACCTGACGGCGGACGGCACGCCAGGGAAGGTTTTCAGTCGCGGGCCGTTTCGAGTGGTGGAGGACAGCGTGCGACCTAGGGACTGCTCTTTCGCCCAGGTATGTATAACAACTAACAACAATCGATTTTTGCGTATGATTCTTTTGCGCGCCTCAAAAGTCGCAGGCCTTGTAGAGTGGTGGAGGACAGCGTGCGACCTCGGGACTGCTCTTTCGCCCAGGTATGAATGCATCATTTTTTGCATTGGTGTATAATCGTCGAACTACAAATTTCAACAACTCATGTTGAGTAATGGGTAATCCATTTTGGGTGGGAGAGGACGGCGTGCAACCTCGGGACTGCTCTTTCACCCAGGTATGAATATGTTTTTTTTGGGCATGGATATTGAAACTCCTTCTATTAGCTGGTTTTTGAGAATTCTCTAAAACCAGCTTGAAACTCCTTCTATAGTAGGAATTTTAGTAATTCGTGTTGAGTATGGGTGTTGAACTTCCCATTCTGGGATATGGAATGTAATTCGTCTCTGGGTATGGCTTCTAACGTGCGTGTAAACCTGTTGTTCTTCCCAAAAACGTCGTCTCCCAGTCCCATCCCATCCCGGTCCCACTCCCATCCCGTTCTTATCATGTCCAATCAGGAGCCGCTACCCAAGCCTACCCACGTCTGGCTCCCTGTCATAGATCTCCCGTTCCTGCTCCCAACGTGTCATTTCGTTCCCATCCCGTTCCTGTTCCCGTTCATTCTCTCATCCAATCAGGAGCCACTACCCAAGCCATTCCGCGTCTGGCTCCCAGTCCTAGATCTCCCGAGCAGCGAGTCATCCGATTCTGCCCAAGCTGCTGCTGTATCTGTTTCTGCTGCGGACGCTGAAGCTGAAGCAGCTCCTGGCAATGCACCTGACGAGAAGCTCGAAAGCACCTGGCAGCAACAGAGGAGCACCTGGCAGGTGCCAGTGGTGGTGTTTCAGCATGGGTTTGCTTCTCAGAACTACTTTTACTCCGACCTGCTCTCAAGAATCGCCTCCCATGGCTATATCGTCCTGGCCCCTCAGGTATTACCTTTCCCTGATAGCACCTGCTTCTCAGATAACACCTCCCTCAGATAAGCAAAAACCACTTCTACCCAGGCCTGATCCCTGGAATTAGGCTTAGATGGCTGGCTGCATCGTCAAGGCTCCCCAGATATCATATAACCTTTCTTACTTAAAGCTAACAAACGTTGCTATCTGGTACAGCATTGCGATTGCCTGTTTTCCTGGTAAAGCCTGCATGTTTTTCACCTTCCTCCCTCTCCGCTTTCTCTCGTTGCCTGGACCCCACCTTCCCACCCACCTCACCCCTCAGATGTACTCTATATTAGCAGGATTCGACACAATGCCAGAGATGCGGGATGCTGTGAAAGTTATCAACTGGTTACACACCAATGTGCAAGCTCTAATCAATGCACGAATCAAGCCTTCTGCTCTTGGTGCTGCTCGGGCAGCTGAAAAAGAAGCAGGCGAACGGGCAGATGAACGGGCAGCAGGAGAAGAGGCAGCGGTGGCGCAGCCTGATTGGTCGAGGTTTGTGCTAGCAGGCCACAGCCGGGGAGGGAAGGTGACGTTTGGAATCTTGCGAAAGCTGGTGGAGGAGATAGTTAAGTCCACAAAGCAGCAGCATGGGTTCATAGAGGCAAAGTTACCATTGTCTATTAAAGCCGCAATGCTCTTCGATCCTGTGGATGGAACCGCTTCTAAGGCCACCAATCCTCCCACACTCACTCATCAACCGGACTCCATCTCTCTCCTCAACAACCCTCCTGTACTCGTTATAGGCTCAGGCCTGGGTCCCATTCCCAGAGGCGGCAAATCCCCTTCTGATAAAGGCAACCCATGCGCTCCCGAGAATTTCGGGCACAAAGTTTTTTTCTCAGACCTGGTCGGCCCGGCGTACCATTTTTCGGTGCCCGAGTTCGGCCACGCTGACTTTTACGATGACGACTTGGGCCCGATTTACGGACCGTTGTTTAGCAAAGTGTGCAATAACGGGCCTGCTAGGGAGCCGATGCGAGTAGCGGCTGGAGGGCTTGCAGTGGCGTTTCTAAAAGCTGTGGTTGGGGGTGGTGGGGATGGTGAGAAGGGAGGGAGTGTGAGGGGAGTGAGGAGCGAGAGTAGTGGGATGGAGGTGGAGAGAAAGGATAGTGACGGTGTGGGAGAGGCGGCAAGGAGGTTAGAGGAGAAAAGGCAGGCTTTGGAGAGATTAGTGGTTGATGCTGCTGCTGATGTGGCTGATGTGGCAACTGCTGGTATCGTAAAGAGTAGTCAGGAGCAAGGCGGGGAGCAGAAGCAGGAGAAGCTGCAGGAGCAGCAGGAGCTGGAGCGGGAGAGACAACGGCTAGAGGTAGTGTACATGAGGAGTGGAGGTAGTGGAGGGGGGTGTGGGGTTGATTCAGAAGGAGGCTTTGGGAGTGGCTCAGTTATAAGGAACAGGGAAGGAGGCTGTGGTGCTGTGATTGGTTCAGGGAAGGGGAGTGATGTGAGCGATCTTAGTGATTTGTTGCAACACCCTGAGCATTCTCCTGTGGTGCTGTCAGAGGTGGGGTGGAAAGTGGGGCGGCAGCAGGAAACACCTGAAGAAACACCTGCAGGTGAACCTGCCACTTTATGCGGAGCAGCAACTGCTATAGTTGCGGCTGCTGCTGCCCGCTAGTGGCTTCCTCAGCTTCTGCTGTAGAGGTCTAGCTGGCGGTGTCTGTCCTTATCTTGCAGTACCGTCATCGCCCGGATATAAGACAGTGTTGAATAGTAGACAGGGGTTGTCTATTATATGGGTGTCTCTTATAAACAGGCTAGCCTCATTATAAGACACCTATTTGTGTGTACGCGTTAAGCCAGTGTAGAGGTTAGGGGCAATCGTATCGCGAGGGGGTATCTTCTAAACGGTTTTGTGTCCATTTATAAGACTTATAAGGCACCCTAAACGTTCCCAAATACAAGACAACCCAAGCATTTTTGCCCGTGTACGAGATAAGACATTTATGTCTTATATCCAGGCGATGACGGTAGTAGTTATTGTAGATTCGAAGATCTTAAGTTCGTTAAAACATTGTCCAGCTGAAAATCATAGGATTTTTTTTTGTACGGTATGATTCATAGCCATGCATCAAGCCCCTTTGGACTGATGTGTAGCGATTCTCACTGGAGAGTGTATAGGATTACTCGTTACATCATCCAAATCTGCCGAGTCTCCCTGTAACTTGGCTTTTAGAAAGGCAACAGCGATTCCGGATGCAGCGACATGCATCGGCCGTTTTGCCCGGCCTTTTTTGCAAGCCACCTCACTCATTGCCCCGTAAATCCCTATGTCTTAATCGTAAAAATCCAAGTGCCCGTACTGGGGCACCACAAAATAATAGGCAGGTCCCGCTAGGTCAGAAAAAAATGTCTTGTGCCCGAAATATTTGGGCGGGCAGGCGGGCAGCCCGGGACCTTTTGGGATCGGACCGAGGCCCGAGCCTACGATCAGAACTGGGGCAGAAACGACAAGGGAGTTGGGCCTGTGCACGAGAACGGGCGGCACATTTTTGGAGGTATTTGAGGTGCCGTCTGAAGGGTCGAAAAGGAGGAGGGCAGTGATGGGAACAGGGGAGGAGGGCGAGACGATGTTACGTGTTACACCGAATGCCACCTTGGCACCCACGCTGTGCCCTGATAGGACAAATTTGGACCAATCGGGGACTGTGTTTTTGAAAGGGTAGGTGGCAGTGGGGGAGGCGTTATTGGGTGATGATGATGGGGAAGATGGAAGATTGAAGGAAGGAGGGGAGGAGGAAGAAGACGACGAGGGGGGTGAGGAGGGTGAGGAGGGGGATGCGGAGGAGGATTGTGGGAAGTAGCTTGATTGAAGTTGCTGCTTTGACTGGGACTGGGACTGAGACAATGGTCGTTTCTGTTTCTTCTGTTGCAGCCATGTGTCAAGGTTCGCCCTTACCCATGTGATCACGCGTACACTGCCTCTCATCTCCGGCCTTGTGTTGGATCGGCCTATAAAGGGGTACATCTGGGCACGAACCAAACATGCGACAGGAAAGGGCCAGTGAGGTGTGCGTCTTAAACGTCGGCGATGTTTCTTGGGATGGAGAGATTCAGGGAAGGACAAAAAGGCAGTTCTATTTAGAGAGGCAACTGTGAATTTATGATTGCGAAAAGAAGCTGGGCAAAAGAATGTGTCGTACCACAAATACGAAAATAAAGCGAGCACAATCATAACGATCATACGGTAACATCCTCAGCCATACCTGAGGAGCAACGACAATGAAGCCATGGGATGCAATGCGCGAGAGCAACTGCGAGTAGAAATGCGTCTTGGCAGCAAAGCCATGTTGGAAGACCAGGAGGGGCGCGGAGAGCTGCGATGAGGAGACTGGCACCCACAGGCGCAGGGGCTTTGGAGGGGCGAACTGGAGGGAAGGGGGAGAGGAAGGGGAGAGGCATGAGAGGGCCTCAGCGCAGTGAGTTAGTGGGAGGAAAGAGAAGGCAGAGAGCAGCGAAGCCGTGCTGGAATGGAAGAGCAGGAGAGCTGCGATGCGGAGACTGGCACCCACAGACGCAGGGGCTTTGGAGGGGCGAACTGGAGAGGGGGAGGAAGGAGGAGGAGGAGGAGGAGAGGGAGGAAGGAAGAGGGAAAGCGGAGGGAGAGAGGAGCGAGAAAAGAGGGAAAGAGGAGAGAGGGAGTGGAGGGAGAGAGTGGAGGAGAGAATGGAGGGAGAGAGGGGAGGGAGAGAGAGGAGGGAGGGACGGAACCAGCGCAGAGGGCGAGAGGGAAGGGGCAAAGCAGGTGCAAAAGACCAGAAATGCGATTATGGCAGCAAGCCAGCACCCAACAGAGGAAACAAAAAACGGCGAAACAAAAACCGGGGAACACGATTTGGCGAAGCGGGAAGACTAGCACATGCGGGATACATCAACACATCCGTACCTTGGGGTTGCCGAAAGGACGTTTTTTACCGATCCTACGCTCGAGCACGCGATAAGGACCACGCGAGAAGACCTTTCCGGGGGTGCGGTCTTCGCCAATCAGCTTGCGGTTGGGGTTTTCATGGTCGGGACTGGCAAAACGGTCAGAATAAAAAGACTGTACGGTATTTACTACTGACGGTAATGATTGGGAGGAGTTTCCGCACTCAGCAGGAACTGATATTAAAATTAAAAGGCAAATCACTTCTGCCTGGCGTATTTTTAGGCATCTCAGGAGGAGGAAGTGGGTTACAGTGTGACAAGACCATTCTGACATTGCTTGAACGAAGTCCGGCATTCGAGGAAAATCTACAAAATAGGTGACTGTTTTAGCCGGAATGTGAACAGAGAAGGTGCTAGCTGCTAGTCCGTTATACTTTCTAGTGGAAAAGGCTAGTCCCCCGCATAGATCATTCCCGTGGTTCAAGGCGCTCCCAGCACCGCCCCTAGGTTTCTCACTACGCACACCGAAAGCAGTAGCAACTGAAATATGCATCATTCCCGTGGTTCATGCGCTTCCAGCACCGCCAGTCCAAGATTCCCTACTGAAGGCTTCGATTTCCCAACACAGGGTGATAAATGAAGAATGCATTTCTGCATTATGAATGAAAAGCAACAGTACAACTTACATTATGGTTTTGTTACAGGCTGGTCTATCTTAACTGGGGAGTGGCCTGGGTTGGCCATGAGATCATCCAAATCTGCCGAGTCGTCTAGAAGCTTGGCCTGAAAGAACGCCACCATCAGCCCGGCAGTCACCACCCGCATCGGCTTTCTCGCCGGCCCATTCTTACAGAAGTGCTTAGAAATAAAAGTAATCCCAGGGCCGAGCCAATTATTGAAAAAATCAGCGTGTCCATACTCGGGCACGACGAATTTCCACGCCGGGCCAACCAAATCAGAGTAAAACTCTTTGTAGTTGTCCCCTTCAGGAGCACATGAACCTCCTCGTCCCGCTCCCAACACAGCCACCGGACCGGAGAATTGAATCGAGTTCGGGACATACGTAAGCACCGAATCCCCAGACTTCCTGGAGCTTCTTTCCCCGCCGCCGTTAACCGGGTCAATTAGAAACTGCGCTTTAATCGGCACCACCGATTTGCAAAAAAGTTTCCGGAGCACGCCGAACGCAACTTTCCCGCCGCGGCTGTGGCCGGTCAGGGCAAATTTGGACCAATCGGGCGAGGCTTTGGTTCGTCGGTGGAGGATCGGGTGGCGGGAGAGCCAATTCTTGAGGTTGTCTTTGAGCCAGCGAATGACGGCACAGGATCCCTTCATCTCGTAGACGGCTCCTGTGAGGCCGATGAGCGGGTACATCTGGCGTGGAGAACAGGGTCACGGGGCAGGAAGGGAAGGAAGAACAGGGAGGGCATGAAGGGCAAAGAGGGCAGGGAGGGCAGGAAGATCAGGTAAGGCAGGGAGGTAGAAGGCATGAGGAAAGTGCAAAGTATGGTATAGAGGTTTTGGTTTTGGTTTTGGTAAGCCAGCGAATCACTGCATAAGAACCTTTCATTTCTTAGATGGCTCCTGTGAGGCCTATGAGAGGGTACATCTGGAGGGTGGGGTGGGAACATAAGAGCAGGAGACCATTAGGTTGGGTGCATGCTAGTGGGAAAAACAGGGCTATGATTTCAACCAGAGATTGACTGCGCAGGAAACTTCCATCCCGTAGAATGGGTGAGGCCGATGACAGGGTACATCTGGAGGGGGGGGCGTGGAGGTGCTACTGGTCAGGGAGGTACTATCTGTGACGGAGCTGTTTAGCTGTCAGGGAGGTGTTATCTGGCAAACGATTGTACCTGAGGAGCCACCACAATGTAGCCATGGGACACCACCCTCTTGAGCATGCCCGAAAACCAGAAGTTGCGGGTTGCCCACCCGTGCTGAAACACAACCACTGGGAAGGACTTAGGTGATGACGTGGCAGGCGCCCATAGGAGGATAGGCCGCGGAGGTAGCACCTGGATGGGGTGAGGGGAAGAGGAGGGACGGGCGGAGGCAAGAGAGGAGGTTCGAGAGGCAGGAAGAAATGATGAGAGAGAGAGGGGAGAGAATAGGTAAGTGAGGTGAGGGAGGGGTGGGGAGCTTTTGAGGCGCCTCAAAAGAGGGGAGAGTAAGTGAGGTCAGGGAGGGGTGGGGAGCTTTGCGGCATGGACGGTAATGCCTACCAGACCTTGAAAACGAACATGGGTCCATCCGCCAATCGATGATCACTCTACTGCCTTGTACGGACCCAATCTAAACACCTTCCCAGGTACTGTGCAATGCAACGCAGTGACGTGCGGTGCCATGCGGTGACAGATGGTGATGGCTGATACTTGAAGTATCGCTCCCCATTCCTCCCTCCAGTTCGCCCCTCCAAAGCCTCTCACACACCTTGAAAATGAACATGGGCCCGCCAATGGACAATCGCTCCACCGGCTTATACCGCCCCAAGCTGAAAACCTTCCCTGTCGTGCAAGGTGGTGTGCTGTGACATGCGGTGCCGTGTGGTGACAATGGGTGACATGCGGTAACGTGTGAGACAACACAATGTGCACACCTTGAAAATGAACATGGGCCCGCCAATGGACGATCGCTCCACCGGCTTATACAGCCCCAAGTTGAACACCTTCCCCGGCGTGCAAGGTGGTGTGCCGTGACATGAGGTGCTGTGTGGTGACAATGGGTGACATGCGGTAATGTGTGAGACAACACTATGTGCACACCTTGAAAATGAACATAGGCCCGCCAATGGACGATCGCTCCACCGGCTTATACGGCCCCAAGTTGAACACCTTCCCCGGCGTGCCGTCCGCTCCTATCAGCTTCGACAGCGCGGCCGCTGTGCCGTCATCTGGAGCCGTCGACAGGACCTCAGAGGAAGGCAATGAGAGGTTCTGAACAGACTGCGTTTGGAGCGAGGAGAGAGGTTCGGGGATGGGCGTGCTAGATCCCGGCGGGTTTTCCGCGGGAATTGGTTCGGAATAAGAGGTTTCTGGGAGGAAGCTGGCAGTTGGCTGCGAGTGAGGCGCGCCAGGGAGAGGCTGTGCGTCTGGAACTGCCGACGCGTCGGGAAGAGGCGATGCGTCGGACGTGATGGATAATAAAGAGACGGCCAGAAGCGAAGTTATTACGAGGATCGCGATGCGGGAAATCGCGCGAAGATGTAGGAGGGATTGGCGAATCGTCGGACTGGGGCGACTCGCCGCAAGGGAGGAGACTAGAATGCCCTCGCTACTATCTCTCGCGATAGAAGAGGTGATCGATGCAAAGCGCGAAGTCGCCATACTGTCGCCAGCTGCAAAGCTAGCTATAATCAACAGTTGATGGCATAAGCACAGAGGGACCGCAAGTTGCGGCTGGTCGTGCCTGATCAACTCGGGTGATTCAGAAGTCACTAATCGATTCGCCTCTGCAGTGTGCTACGATATCCGTAAAAGAGGTCTAAACTTCTCAGCGCCAATGAAGGAGGTCGCATTGAAAATTTTCCTGTGGGGACTAGCATAAGTGTCGACAGAGGGGGGCCGCTGTGGAAAATACAGGGAAACGAGCAGGTCAGGGGGGGAATAGGTGGGGCACGAGGCGAAGTGCTTGGGCAGGCGAACTAAAAGGCGATAATGAGGCAGCGGCGAGCGTGTTACCATAGAGAACCGAGGAAACCAATACTGATTACGAAAGGTTTCGCCTGCAGAATGTTCATGTGGTTATGTTGTGCTGGCGTTTTGCCTTTCGTACGGCAACCAGAAATCGCTCGACGTGGAGCACCGACACTAGGCCACCGCTGTCCTTGTGAATGGTCAATTCTCTAGACAGTGCATGAATTGTTCCTGATATAGCAAAACGTCGTGCGACGCGGGATACGACACTGTTTTGTAACACTTTCAAAATCACATATATTTACATCTTTTGAAACTTTATTTCGTTCTTCCCTCCCACCCTTGGGATTGGTTCGCTCGCTCCTCACCCTCTTCGGAAAGCCGGCATTTCCTCCCCAGCTCCAAGCCTAACTTCCCGCTAAGCACAGCCACGAGCAAGCCTATATTTCACCAGCAATGCAAAACTTGCCTTCACATCGCGTATTCTCTCTCCTCGTCGTCCTCTTCCTCCTCCTCCCATCTCTCGTTTGCCGTGCCGATGAGACTCCCGGCAAGGTGTTCAGCAAGGGAAACTATGCGGTGGCTGCGAAATGGTTACCGCAGCGCTGTCGGGTTCTTTTCAAAGTAAATGCCTGAAAACACCACGAGCAGACTTTTGAGTCGACTCAAAAGAAAGCTGGCTTTTGAGTCGACTCAAATTCAAAGTAAATGCCCGAAAACACCATGAGCAGCCCGGACGGGCCATGAGTCCTGTGTAGTAGTAACTCGTGACGCGCGTACTCACCATGAGTATTCCCGCTAGCAGCGACAATGACAATGCTCCTGAGGCTACTGGGCTCTGCGTTTCTCAAAAGAAAACAAAATTAGCAGACAAAATCTCTCCTCGTCTCCTCTTTCCTGCTGGTTCCCTTGTTGCACCCAATCCGCGCATCACCCAATCCCCTCACTCTCACTTTTACTCACCCTCACGCTCACTCTCACTCTCACTTTTACTCACCCTCACTCTCAATCGCACTCCCCCTCACTTGTTCCCCGGCAAACCTTCCCTCTTCCCCTCTCATCAGCATGCCTCTCCGCATCTGTTCGCCTAAGCCTTCCTCCTCCACCGCCCTGCCCGTGCTGCCCTTCCAGCACATCTTCTCCCTTCCCACCCTCTCCTCTTCCCCGCAACCCCCTTTCCTCCCCCCCCCCCACCACCCCGTTTTCCCCCCTTTCCTCACCATGTTCCCTCCTCCCCAGAGGAAACCCCCCAGGCCTCTCCGCATCTGGTCGGCCAATTCTCCCCAACACCGGCCTCCCTCCAACCCCCACTCCTCACCCTGTTCACCCACCAGAGCAACTCCCCCAAGCCGCTCCGTATCTGGTCGCCGAAGCCCGCCGCAGCCACCGCCCTGCCAGTGCTGCTCTTCCAGCACGGCTTCTCCCATGCTCTTTGCTTCCTCCCAACCCCTCCCCTCCCTATCCCCCTCCTCCCCCTCCCCCTCCTCCTCCCCCTCCCCCTCCCCCTCCCCCTCTCCCTCCCCTCCCCCTCCCCCTCCCCCTCCCCCTCCCCCTCCCCCTCCCCCTATCCCTCCCCCTCCCCCTCCCCCTATCCCTCCCCCTCCCCCTCCCCTTACCCCTCCCCCTCCCCCTCCCTCTCCCCTTCCCCCAACACCCTGGTCTATCCCCACTCCTCACCCTGTGCTCCCACAAGAGCAACCACCCCAGGCCTCTTCGCATCTGGTCGCCAAAGCCTGCCACAGCAACCGCCCTGCCAGTGCTGCTCTTCCAGCACGGCTTCTCCGCTCAGACCAATTACTACTCTCGCCTGCTCTCCCGCGTCGCTTCCCACGGCTTCATTGTTGTGGCTCCCCAGGTGAATGGGTGCAGATGGGTAAGCATGGGTTCATTGAGGTGGGTGGGTGCACAGCATGGCTTCTCCACTCAAGCCCTCTTCTACTCTCACCTGCTCTTCCGCGTCGTTTCCCGCGGCTTCATCATTGTGGCGCCCCGGGTGTGTATAAGAGAGGAAAGATGTATTTACCATAGCCACCGATGAAAGGCCTGCTAGGCCGCAAATTTGGCATCTGCTAGGCTGCGCTCTCACCTGTCTTTCAACTTCTTCCCCCTTCCCCGTTTTCTCTCTCCCCTCCCGTCCTCCATCATTCCTACTTATGTCTCTCATTCCAAGATGTATCCCATAACCACCATAACGGGTGCAATCCCTGACATCCGAGCATCTGCCAGGGTCATCATCAGGCTGCGCTCTCGCCCCTTTCCCCCTGTTTTTTCCCCTCTCTCCTTCCCCATTCCCCCTTTCTCACTCCAAGATGTATCCCATAACCACCACCACCAATGCAATCCCTGAGATCCGAACATCTGCCAGGCTCTCACATCTTCTCAACCCCTTCCCCTTCTGTTTTGCCCCCCTTCACCTGCCCCTCATACCTTCTGTCATTCTAAGATGTATCCCATAACCACCACCACGAATGCAATCCCTGAGATCCGAGCATCTGCCAGGGTCATATCCTGGCTGCGTTCTCACCTCTCCGCCACCCTTTCCAACCGCTTCAAACTCCTTGCCTCTCCCGACTGGTCGAAATTCGCTATAGCTGGGCACAGCCGCGGGGGTGCTGTTTGCTTTGCCTTACTGAGACAGCTTATAGTGCCGTCTCCGGAGCCTCTTAAGGCTGTTGTGCTTTTGGATCCCGTAGATGGTAATCCCAATGGTACCCGGTTTGGAATAAACACATTTGCTACACTCGCTAGAAAGCCTGATTCGTTAACTGTTAGTGCACCTGTACTCGTTATAGGAGCAGGGCTGGGGCCTGTGCCAAGGAGGAAGGGAAGGAGACCTTGTGCCCCGGAAAAGCTGGGGCATAAATATTTTTACTCGGACCTTGCTGGCCCAGCTGTACATGCAGTGATGCCGAATTATGGGCACAGTGACATGGTCAATAGCCGAGGGGATCGATGGCACGGTGGTGAACTCAGCCAGGAGCAACACCTTCCATCCGGATTTTCTACATCTGCTAAAATCATACATCTGACAGGGCAGTCTGGGGCTCTTGCGTCAAATGGGATTTGTCCCGGCGCTCGCTCAAGGAGACCTATGCAGGTGGCCTCTGCTGGAATGATGGTCGCTTTCTTGCAAGCCAAGTTGCTGAGTGACTCTGTGAACGTGGATGATATTCTTGCGACCCCGAACCATTGCCCTGTCAAATTAGACCCACTTGCATCCAAGTAGTCTATTAGCAATACGACTGTGTTGTATATTTTCACCTAATTTTAGCAGCTTTTTGTGATTTCACCTGGTCAATGCTCAATTCTCGTTGGTGCTTGTAGCGCGTACCAGAACTGTTTGTTCTGTTTTTGGGCGCGGTGCATCGGAACGTGTCACGCGAAGACAGTGTTCCCCTTCGCGAACCGAAAGCACCTGCACAAAAACCATGGCGAACCGCAAAAGTTGTCGCGATGTTACAAATTCTAGGTGGACGTCCCGAAGCGCGCACCGAAATGTCTGTATTTATGTCGGTCGGATCTGCACAGAAACCTAGGCTGTGCACGTGGCAGCACGTCCTATCAGTCATTTCCTGAAGCTCTTTTCAGCTTTACCTCCTCCGTACTCTTTACCGTACTACATCTGCTAAAACTGCAACCGATATAAATTCTTAGTCTAGCTTAGCTCAACACGTAGTTCTGCTGTAGTACTGTCCAAGCTCGTGTTTCGTTCGTTTTCCTAACGCTAGCGGCACTCAGAAGCAGCTTTAGTGGTTACCTTAGAGTAGGGCCGACTGCTGAACGAGCGTCAATAGTGGTGCATTGGCGCGAACCACTTTTGCTGACGTGGTTGAAGAGATGGTTGACGTAGTTTGCCGGTCACGTCGAACGACAAAACGTAGGTTTCCGCGTGGCATCCTGGCTGCTCTTGCCACGTCATTAGCTGTCCTCTGCTTCCTCGCGTCCATTGTCCGTGTCGAGTGCGAGACGGTCCGTGCAGATGTCGTGGCAACCAGCTCAAATGTAACGTCTACCACCCCAGTTGACACGACAGATGACACTCTTGATGCAACGCCTGGAAAAGTGTTCAGCCGCGGACCCTATACCGTGAAACGAGGCGCGTTCCTTCTCAAACGGCGACGATTCCTTTTGAAGGTAAGATAAACGCTCATTCCTTTCCACCGGCAAGCCGCTAATCATCTCGCCACTTAAGACAGGCTCCGCACCCCTTCCCCAATCCTTCTTCCCTTGCCTCCTTATCCGTCCGCAGCGCAGCCCTTTCTATCCCGTTCCATCCCTTGCCGTCCTTTCTCGTCCCATCCCATTCCTTCCCATCTCTCCTCTTCCCTTCCCCCTCGTCTTCCCCCTGCTCCCCCCACTTCGTCCCCCATCTCCCAGAGCATCGTTCCCAAGCCTCTCCTCATCTGGTCGCCCAAGCCCACCCAACACCTCCTTCCCCCCTCTCTCTCCTCTTCCCCCTCCCCCTTTTTTCCACCGGACCCTGTTCTCCCCACAGAGCAATCCCCCCAGGCCTCTCCGCATCTGGTCGCCCAAGCCCGCCACAGCCACCGCCCTGCCAGTGCTGCTCTTCCAACACGGCTTTTCCGCTCAAACCTCCTTCTCTGCTTCTATTCCGTCAGTGGCTTCTGCAAATCTAACGCTCTCTGCTTTCCTTTTTTTCCCCTCTCCCCCACCCTCCTTCCCCCACACCTTCCCTCCCCGCCCCCTTCCCCCGGAACCCTACTCCCCCCACCAGACCAACCCCCCCAGGCCTCTCCGCATCTGGTCGCCCAAGACTGCATCCGCCACCGCCATGCCAGTGCTGCTCTTCCAACACGGCTTTTCCGCCCAAACCTCCTTCTACTCACAACTGCTCACGCGCATTGCCAAGCACGGTTACATTGTCGTGGCTCCCCAGGTATGTGGGTGGGTGCATTCGGTGTTCAGATGGGTAGGAATGGGTTTAGTGCGGTGGTTGGGTGTACATCTGGTGCTGCTTTTCCAACATGGCTTCTCCGCCCAAACCTCCTTCTACTCGCAGCTGCGCACACGCATAGCCAAGCACGGCTACATCAACGTGGCTCCTCAGGTGTGCGGGTGTTACTAGGACACTTTGAACTGCTTCTTAGCTGAATCACGAATCACTCCTACTCACAGCTGCTCACGCACATAGCCAAGCACGGTTACATTGTCGTGGCACCTCGCCTCAGGTATGTGTGTGTGACTAGGGCACTTTCCACCATACGCATGTGGGTGTGGCTAGAACTTATCATTTATATCAGGCTGTGGTGGCGCTCCGCCGATCTTATTGCCATCAAGGGTGTACCTATTTCCTCACCTTATTTTCCCCGGCTCGATTTGTTTCTCTACTTTCCTTGGTTCTGCTTTCTGCCATCTAATTCTCCTACTGATTTTGAGACGTCTCAAAATCTGCCATCTAATTCTCCTACTGACATGCCCTAAGTTCCCCCTCATTACCACCCACCCTCATCCCCCCTCTTCTCCCACTCCTCTTCTCACCACTGCCCAGATGTACCCTTTAGCAACAGGCTACAACATAACGCCCCCACTGCTCTTCTCTCATTCGGCCTCCCCCCCGCTTCCCCCCGCATTTCCCACTCCTCTATATATACCACCACCCAGATGTACCCTGTAACAACAGGCTACAATACAACGGTCTCACCATTTTTCTCTCATCTAGCCTCCCCCCCTCCCCCTCCTACCATAACCCAGATGTACCCTGTAACAACAGGCTACAATACAGCACCAGAGATGCGCGGTTCAGCAAACGTCATCGGCTGGATGCGTAAACGTCTTGCCAAGGTCCTCGCCAACCGCCTTGAAGTGAAAGCTATTCCGGATTGGGACAAGTTTGCTATTTCGGGACACAGTCGAGGCGGAAAGGTCGCATTTGGAGTCGCACGGGGCTTGGTCAAGAAATCCCCTGTTACAATCGGGGCAGTGATTCTGGTTGACCCTGTAGACGGCGCTTCGAACAAAACGAAAAATTACCCAGCTACATTGACCCACCGACCAGGCTCCATCAGCCTGGGCATTCCTGTACTCGTTATAGGAGCAGGGCTTGGTCCCATTCCAGAGCAACCAGGTGGAATGCCCTGCGCACCAGCATATTTCGGCCACAAATTCTTTTACTCGGATCTTGCAGACTCGGCGTATCATGTGGTGATGCCCAGGTATGGACATGCCGATTTCAACAATGATATGCGAGTGACTGTTAATGTGTGCCCTGGAGGGCCAAAGAAAAAGAAAGCCCGGGCAGCTACTGCTGGGCTGGTGGTGGCGTTTCTCAAGGCCAAGCTTGAGAGTGATTCTAGTGATTTGGATGATGTGTTGGCCAATCCAGGGCACGCTCCTGTTACTTTGTCCCCAGTTGAAAGTAAATGAAGAGTGGTAGTTGTAGATTATACCTGGCAGTTCCCTATTGGCATTAGTAGTCCCATCACTTCCAGTGGCATCCATCCATGTCACTTTCCAAGTTTGATGCGCAATTTGTACACAGTACAATATACCGTCATCACCCGGATATAAGACAGTGTTGAATAGAAGACAGGGGGTGTCTATTATCCGGGTGTCTCTTATAAACGGGGTAGCCTCATTATAAGACACTTATTTGTGTGTACGAGTTGAGCCACTGTAGGGATTACGGGCAATTGTATATCGAGGGGATATCTTCTAAACAGTTCTTTGTCCATTTATAAGACTTTTAACACCCAAAACCGTCCCAAATACAAGACAACCCAAGCATTTTTGCCCGTGTATGAGATAAGACATACATGTCTTATATCCAGGCGATGACGGTATCACATTCTTGCCATCGTCATGCGACAACTGGAAAAACCACACGGGTCTTCCCAATGCTGCATCCCTGTAAATGTTATTAACCCAGGCATCCAGCCTTTAAGCTGGCATCACTGAGTGCTGCCAGCTCTGCAAATTGCAATAACGCACCACTCCCACTCCATATACATTCAACCTCGTGCTATACATGCACCCGCAGGTGCTGTATGTACACCACTTATGCCAGCTGGACCTGGGTGGAGTATGGGCAGGCGAGGAAGTCCCCAATCTCCTGCACAAGGTACTGCTTCTCGCTCACACTCAGGTTCATTCCAAAGCGGTGCGTGCGAACACCCTCTGAGACCTCGCATGCCGTCATGAAGCCCGCAAACTGGCCCTGAAACAGGCAAGAAAGGGACAGGTTCGAAAACAAATTTGGGGGAAGCACATGAGAATTCCAAATCAACTACTAGACAAGAAACACAGCTTCAAAACAAAGACATGCAGGTTGAAAATTCAGAAAGCACAAGGTGAAAGAAACACAGCACAACAGTCAAGCCACCTCCAATGGCATTCAAAAAATAAAGACGTTTTAGGATAATTCCGTGCACTTACCCCAGACACCACGATCTTGACGTTGCTGATGTCGGACGCCTTGCCGTTCACAGTGGATTTACGGCAGCAGCACTTGCGACCCAAGAAGGACGAGGTCATGGTGAAGTCGGAGCGGGTGAAGGTGAGGTGGCGGCGAGTCAGTGCCTTGACAACGATGATGATGGAAACGCTGAAAAGGAGGGAAACATGTACGCATTTTTTGATTATTTTGGAATATACGCAGAAACGAAGGTGATGTGCTAACGAACTTGTAGAAAGAATGTGATAGAGGCAGTATTTCACCCTGCTCAGTAATCGACCAGATGTGAAATATAAACTGAAAGGAAAAAAAAAAATAGGCTCGCACCAAGAGTATGCACAGGTGCTTACATAAGGACCAGTGACCCGAGGCCAATAAGGGGACACATGGAGCAGAAATCTGCGTTGGAAGGAGTGAGCGCATCAAGGTCGATGAAGAAAACGGCGAAAATTGCCACGTAGATCTGGGAGGAACAAAGCGAGCAGGTGGTACAAATAGTTCTTAAGACGGTAGTAGCAGGAGGAACACTGCCAAGAAACAGCTGTACACGACTAGGTAAGACAAAAAAAAAGGTATTGTTAGGTAGAAAAGGACGGGGGAAACAAGGTTCACACGTGAAGGAGAACATGGCTTTACCAGGAAAAAGGTGTAGAGGACGAGGCAACGGGAGGTGAAACCATTCCGCGGAAGGTTAATCTCCAGGAGGTCATCGCCCTTGCGGTTCACGCTCTGTTTTCCACCATAAGGCAACGGATAAATGACGACGAGTTTAGAAAATGGCGTAGAGAATGGGAGGTAAAATCGTTGCGCGGAAGGTTAATCTCCAGAAGGCCATCGCCCTTGCGGTTCACGCTCTGCTTTCCACCATAAGGCAACGGATAAATGACGACGAGTTTAGAAAATGGCGTAGAGGACGAGAGAATGGGAGGTAAAACCGTTGCGCGGAAGGTTAATCTCCAGAAGGCCATCGCCCTTGCGGTTCACGCTCTGCTTTCCACCATAAGGCAACGGATAAATGACGACGAGTTTAGAAAATGGCGTAGAGGACGAGAGAATGGGAGGTAAAACCGTTGCGCGGAAGGTTAATCTCCAGAAGGCCATCGCCCTTGCGGTTCACGCTCTGCTTTCCACCATAAGGCAACGGATAAATGACGACGAGTTTAGAAAATGGCGTAGAGGACGAGAGAATGGGAGGTAAAACCGTTGCGCGGAAGGTTAATCTCCAGAAGGCCATCGCCCTTGCGGTTCACGCGATGTTTTCCACCAACGGAAAAATGACGAAGCGTCAAGAGAGGAAAGAACATCGAATCTTTGAGCGACGCCTCGCAGCACGAAAATGAGAACTGGCGAGATGCATCCAACACGCAGCAGAACAAGATTCAGCAAAAAAAAATCACGCATTCCAGGGAGAACCTAGTTCTTATACTGATCACAGGAACGATTCCAAGCATTTTAGAGGGGAGATTGCGCTTTGGGGGACGCACCAGAAAGGACCCCGTAGGAAGGCCGAGGCGGCGAACGCCGGCCTCCAAGCCGTTGACGGTGGAATCGTCGTCCTTAGCGGACAAGAGAGCCTGTGATTGGAGGATTAAAAGAGAATTAGTACCACACGGGAAACGGAGAATGGAGTGGCGAAAAACTCTGCGCAGCTCGCTGTCTTTAGTGGACAAGAGCCTGCGATTAATCTTCGAAGAATTGAAGGCGAATTCGTCTCACACCCAAACGGACGTATGAATTGTGCAAACAAATCGACAGTTCACGAAGGCGAGAAAGAAGCCAGCTCGTGCTATCAGACTCACCACTTTCGCGGAGTCCATGGCTGTGAACACGGAGGGAAGGCCCAAAAGGTTCAGAAACTCGGTTACTACAGCAGGATGTTGTAGGAAATTTTGACGGTGTGTGGTGGACAATGGAGTGATGTGATGTGCGGCGAGATAATTCTGGCAGAGTGGAAAGGAAAATCCGTTAGTTGGAGTGACTGACGGGGACGGCCAAAAAGGTGAGAGGCAAGCTGACGGAAGTCTGGGAATGGTATGGCTTGACCGAGGCCGAAGGACAGGCACGGGAAGGAACGCGACGTAAGGGGATGGAACAAGAACAACAAAAATTGATAAGCTGCTGCGAAAAGCTCGTTGAACAGTACGGGAAAAAAATTGCGGTTTGGCCCGAACGAAAGAGAAGGAAGAGGGATTGGTTTGGGTTGAAGTTGGGCTACGGGCCAGGCCACCTGGCCTGGGGCGGAGGTCAAACCAGTTGGCCAGGCCGCGTTAGGGCGTGTAACATTGCGATGACCAAACCCAAAATCCGACCATTTGGTTGGGGCGTGCGAATGCGAAAGGAGTAACACGATGGCGAGGGATGCGAGATTTTCCCGCCAAATGACCACGATAACGATCGATTCAGCAAACGCCCAAACCAAGTGACCGTACGTGCGACCAGTTTCGTCACGAAAACATCCCCGCAGTGACAGTCACCCGCAGAATAAAATTTGGGGAAACACCCACAGATAGCATTATGTGGTAGTCGTCGAATTTGTCTCGCGAAGGCCTATGAGGTTGCTAAACACTACCATCTTCTCGTGCCCCGTATAATCCACACCCCATTCGAATGCCGAATTTTGGATTAGACCTATAAATTCTTAATACGGGGGTAGTTAAGGGTGGATGCTCCTAAATCGACCACACCACAACCATGGTCATTGAAAATCCCCAGGTGTTTGTTACCACTTCCCTCGATTTCGGGTTTGGTCATCGCAATGTTACACGCCTAGGGCTGAAAAGCAGCAGGTGTGTTGTGTTGTGGCGAGGAAGGTGAGGTGACGTCCGACGAGGCACAGCAGCAAGCCATATCGACATCAAGGACTTGACGCTCGGCATTTGTTGCACTCACCAATCAGAGGGCTCACGCCAAACCTGGTTTCACAAACCAAGGTTGTTGGTTTTCATCGGACCTGAAGGAAACACAAAAAGGTCTTTTGCAAGCAGCTTCGCGATCAGCTCCTTTAGCTGAGATCAACTGCACTAGCTAAAATCAATATAGAAAAAACATAATCATTTCAGCACAAACACACAAGCACTTTCACAAGGCACCAAACGTGGACAAGCTCGAAGGATGCCGCTACAAGTGCCAGCTGATTGGAATGAAACCAGCATGTATATCAAGTAACTAGCCGGGACTTAACTATTCAGCCATGATAAAACCAAGGGCAACATTCACTACAACTCCTCCCCATGCCCATCCCTAAAACCACGCCCCTCTCCATTTCTTGGGAAAATCCTGGACAAAACCCCTTCACCCATACGCAGAGCTCTCTCCCCAACCTCACCAACCATTTTACTAGCCCGATGGACCATGGACACAACCTGCTTCCCAACCGTGCTCTTCTTAACCTTTACCAATGCTCTTTTTGCCTGCTTAACCGCTTGGCTCCTCCGGACCTGGCGAATGAGCTTGCTTGTGTGCTTTCCAGCAGCAGTGGCTTGAAATCTCTTGATGAGTGTGGTTCCCGTGTCAGCAGCTCGTTGAATGAGGGCTCGAGAAGAGAGGAAGATTCGACGAAGAGGGGAGTTGAGTGCTGCTTCCTGCTGCTTCTCCTGAGTCGTGACAGCACAACCAAACAACAGTTGCATGTGGAAAAGGGAGGAAAACGATTCGTTAGGCGCATCAAGGATTGAAACATGACAGCAATGGCTTGAAATTGCTTGACGAGCATGGTCCCAGCATCAGCAGCACACTAAATGAGGGCTTGCGAGGAAAGGTAGATTCGACGAAGAGGGGAATAGAGTGCTGCTTCCTGCTGCTTATCCTGTAACGTGCATGAGCCAAAGCGCAGTGTAACAGGCCAACCAAAGAAATGAACCCATAAGTCTACATGGAAAACAGGTTTGAGGTTGAAGTGTATTCCCAGAGCCAGCTAGTTCCTTAGCTACCCTTTAAAAAATCCTTCGCTCCTTTCCTCCACTCCCTGGCTCTTCCACACTCTCTCTCCCCGTCTCACCTTCTCATCTGCAGCCTTCAGAGCAGCACGAATCGCCTCCATGTCCACATGTGTTCCCGGTCCCAACTCATTCCTTAGCTTCTCCTCAAACTCCCATCTTCCACGCACACACACACACCCACAACCACACCAAGCCTTTTAATCTTCCGCACATACCCTTTCACCTTCTCGCCTGCGGCCTTCACAGCAGCACGATGCCTCCATGTCGACATGTGTTCCTGGGCCCAGTTCATTCCTAAGCTTCTCCTCAAACGCCACCTTCCACACAAACACATACACACGCTCTCACCTTCTCGTCTGCAGCCTTCAAAGCAGCCCGAATCGCCTCCATGTCCACATGTGTTCCCGGACCCAACTCATTCCTTAGCTTCTCCTCTGGATCCTCCTCCTCCCCTTCCCCTTCTTCCCCTTCCTCCTCATCCTCCTCATCCTCGCCCATCCCCATCCCCCCCACAGACGTCTTCTTTAAAAGGTCATCACGCGAGTACAGCTTCATTTTGGGCATGCGGGGTGCGCGGGGGTTCTGCACAAAAAGGGTCGCAAACGGACATAAACAACAAGCACTTGAAAATACATAGATTCAGGAACACTTTAGGGTTTCGGGTTTCCACTTCTGTCTTTGGTGAGTGTCACAAAAAAACCTTCTGCAGTAGAGTAAATTTGAGTCATAGGTGTGAGTCTTCACTGCATCCTTTATCGACATTAATGTGCCCCCCCACCCAACGACCTACCTCTTCCCAATACTTCTCAGATTTCAAGTCCATGTCTCGCACCATCCTCTCCCTATCCACCTCCGTATCTGTACAGATGACTTCACACACAAGCCGACAAGGCATGCCGCCCACCCAGACACGCACCTCTTCACGGTACTTCTCGGATTTCAAGTCCATGTCTCGCATCATCCTCTCCCTCTCCACCTCTGTGCTGCTCTTGCGCCTGAAGGCCTCTCCTGGCTTGCGGCCCTGCAGCACAAACGGGAACAACAGCACAGGTCCAACAGAGCAACAGGAAGGGAGGGATGCGCGGGCTAATGTGTCACGTACGTGTCATATACATGTCGCACTCATCATGCATAACATGGACAGCATGCACGCATGCACACACGCACGCAGGCAAGCACACACGCATACATGCACACGTGCGTGCGCACACACACACAATCATACACACAAATATCGCATGGGACATGCGTCACTTGCATCCTCTCCCGCTCCATCTCTAAAGGCTCATGGCAAAAGCTGTTTGCTTGTAGCACCTTGGAAACTGTTGAGGCGCCTCAAAAGTTTTCACATGGCACATGCATCACTGGCATCCTCTCCCGCTCCATCTCTAATGGCTCATGGCAAAAGCTGTTTGCTTGTAGCACCTTGGAAACTGTTGAGGCGCCTCAAAAGTTTTCACATGGCACATGCATCACTGGCATCCTCTCCCGCTCCATCTCTCAAGGCTCATGGCAAAAGCTGTTTGCTTGTAGCACCTTGGAAACTGTTGAGGCGCCTCAAAAGTTTTCACATGGCACATGCATCACTGGCATCCTCTCCCGCTCCATCTCTAAAGGCTCATGGCAAAAGCTGTTTGCTCGCAGCACCTTTGGAACTTTTGAGGCGCCTCATAAGTTATCACAAGGCACATGCATCACTTGCATCCTCTCCTGCCGGATCTCAAACAACTCATGCCAACAGCTGCTTGCTTGTAGCACCTTGGAAACGGGAGGCGGCTGTTTGATGCGCGCGGGAGACATCTCGAGGCACAGCTGCCTGGCACAGTCAGCTTCCGCTCGGATGGCCGGCTCGGAATAGAGGAGCTCTTTTGTGCAATCGCCTTCCTTGAAATATGTGTACCTTGGGAACGGGAGGCGGCTGTTTGATGCACGCGGGAGACATCTCGAGGCACAGCTGCTTGGCGAAGACACCTTCTGGGATGGTCGGCTCGGAGTAGAGGAGCTCTGCCACGTCCGTGTCTGAGAAGCCCACCACCTGATGTGGGGGGGGGAGGAGGAGATGGGGATAGGGTGCGTGCGTGCGAGTGCAAGTGGCAAGTAGGCAGGGAGGTAGCACCGGCTCGGAGTAGAGGAGCTCTGCCACGTCCGCGTCTGAGAAGCCCACCACCTGATGTGGGGGGGGAGGAGGAGATGGGGATAGGGTGCGTGCGTGCGAGTGCAAGTGGCAAGTAGGCAGGGAGGTAGCACCGGCTCGGAGTAGAGGAGCTCTGCCACGTCCGCGTCTGAGAAGCCCACCACCTGATGTGGGGGGGGAGGAGGAGATGGGGATAGGGTGCGTGCGTGCGAGTGCAAGTGGCAAGTAGGCAGGGAGGTAGCACCGGCTCGGAGTAGAAGAGCTCTGCCACGTCCGCGTCTGAGAAACCCACCACCTGAAGGGGGGAAAAGGAGATGGGGTTGGAGATGGGGTTGGAGATGGGGTTGGAGATGGGGTTGGAGATGGGGTTGGAGATGGGGTTGGAGATGGGGTTGGAGATGGGGTTGGAGATGGGGTTGGAGATGGGGTTGGAGATGGGGTTGGAGATGGGGTTGGAGATGGGGTTGGAGATGGGGTTGGAGATGGGGTTGGAGATGGGGTTGGAGATGGGGTTGGAGATGGGGTTGGAGATGGGGTTGGAGATGGGGTTGGAGATGGGGTTGGAGATGGGGTTGGAGATGGGGTTGGAGATGGGGTTGGAGATGGGGTTGGAGATGGGGTTGGAGATGGGGTTGGAGATGGGGTTGGAGATGGGGTTGGAGATGGGGTTGGAGATGGGGTTGGAGATGGGGTTGGAGATGGGGTTGGAGATGGGGTTGGAGATGGGGTTGGAGATGGGGTTGGAGATGGGGTTGGAGATGGGGTTGGAGATGGGGTTGGAGATGGGGTTGGAGATGGGGTTGGAGATGGGGTTGGAGATGGGGTTGGAGATGGGGTTGGAGATGGGGTTGGAGATGGGGTTGGAGATGGGGTTGGAGATGGGGTTGGAGATGGGGTTGGAGATGGGGTTGGAGATGGGGTTGGAGATGGGGTTGGAGATGGGGTTGGAGATGGGGTTGGAGATGGGGTTGGAGATGGGGTCTTGGATGAAGGGATAGGGTGGATGTGAGTGCGACTGGCAAGGACGCAGACAGCACTGGATGGACAGACGGTATGAATAAGATCCTGCAAGCCCTGCCACATCTACAATCACACACTCACCCCACACTCTCCCCACAACTCTTTGTGGTACTCACAGCAACCAATTTACCTCCTCTCTCAAGCACCGCTCACATTACCCTCAGCACCACTCCCTACTCCCTCCACTACCTCCTCCAGCGCTCAAATTACCCCCTCCACACCCCCCACGTGTGATAAGTCAATTTTTGAGTCGACTAAAAAATCGACTGATCACACAAATTACCCCCTCCACACCCCCCACGTGTGATAAGTCAATTTTTGAGTCGACAAAAAATCGACTGATCGCTCAAATTACCCCCTCCACACCCCCCACCCCTGCACGCGTAATGCCCCCTGCCACCCCCCTTGCAGTACCTTACACCCCACTCGCCTATGACCTCGCGCACGTTACCCCCCCATACTCCCCCTTGCACTGCCCCCCATACTCCCCCTTGCACTGCCTCACAACCGGCACTCGCACATTACCTCCTGGCAAGCTTTCTGGATCGTCTTGCACGTTACCCCCCCTCCCGTCTTTGCACTGCCTCACACCCCACTCCCTTACCCCCCCTCCTGTCTTTGCACTGCCTCACACCCGGCACTCGCACATTACCTCCTGGCAAGCTTTCTGGATCGTCTTGCATTCAGTGCGGCAATCCCCAGGGTAGGGGAACTCCTTTAGCTGCAGGGGAAGGGGTGGGGGTGGTGGGGGGAAAGGGGGGAAGGGGAGGGAAGAAGGGAGAGTGTTGCATTCAGTGCGGCAATCCCCAGGGGAGGGAAACTCCTTCAGCTGAAGAGAGGGGGTGCGTGGGGTTGGAAAGGGAAGGGAAGAAAGGAGGGGGTGTGGTGTGGTGTGGGTGGGTGGAGGAAAGATGTTATTATCACCTCCTTCTACTCTCCACCACCCCGCCTTCCTAGAATCTTACCACAGACCAAGCATAGCTTATCCCTTTCGTTGCATCTCTCTCTAATTCCACCTCTCCCGCATCTTATTTCCCTCCAGCATCTCATCTTGGAAGGTCCCACCGTCCCTGCACCTCACCTCGAGCTTGTCCCCCTTCTCCTGCACATCCAGCCATTGGATCCAATTCCTCCACATTCAGTCCTAAGTTCAAGGGTGCTTTTTCTTGCATATCACCTCCCCCATATCCCACCTTCCGCACCTCACCTCGAGCTTGTCGCCCTTCTCCTGCACGTCCAGCCATTGGATCCAAACGCCCTCGTCCTGATTAATAAACCGGTTCCCAAACCGGATCCCAAACCAGTTCCCAAGCCTGTTCCCAAGCCTCTGTTCCTTTCCCTGCAGCTCACCTCGAGCTTGTCGCCCTTCTCCTGCACGTCCAGCCATTGGATCCAATCGCCCTCGTCCTAATTAATAAACCGGTTCCCAAACCGGATCCCAAACCTGTTCCCAAGCCTGTTGCCAAGCCTCTGTTCCTTTCCCTGCAGCTCACCTCGAGCTTGTCACCCTTCTCCTGCACATCCAGCCATTGGATCCAGTCGCCCTCGTCCTTGCTGACGTCACACGCGGATTCCACAAGCTCGATTATCTTCAGCTCTGATAGCTGCGAGATTTCGTCAATCCCGAGGGAAGGGGGTTGGGGGAGAAGAGGGGAGAGTTGGGGGTTGACGAAGAAAGGGAGATTTTTGAGTCCACTCAAAAACCAATTCCACAAGCTCGACGATCTTCAGCTCTGATAGCTGCGAGATTTCGTCAATCCCGGGGGAGGAGGAGAGGGGAGGGGTGAGAGAGGGTGAGGAAGAAAAGGGGAGGAAGTGAGGAGGTGTAGGTGTTGTTGATGACCTTCGGCTCTGATAGCTGCGAGATTTCGTCAATCCCGGGGGAGGAGGTGCGGGGAGGGGTGAGGAGGGGTGAGGAAGGAAAGGGGAGGAAGTGAGGAAGTGTAGGTGTTGTTGATGATCTTCAGTTCTGATAGCTGCGAGATTTCGTCAATCCCGGGGGATGAGGTGCGGGGAGGGGTGAGGAAGGAAAGGGGAGGAAGTGAGGAAGTGTAGGTGTAGTTGCGAGGATATTTGTTATTTTGCGTAGCTGTGAGATTTTCACCTCCTACCTTCTTCGGCGCGATCGCCTGGCGTTTCTCCCGCACTTGCCGCAGCAGATTCTTCGCGAGCAGCTCGCACACGCCGCACTTAATCAACGGTACGTCCTCCTTGCGCGCCACATACTTCTTAGCGGCAAGCGCGCCGCGAATCCCGTCAATAGTAGTGGTTTGAAAGAAGGCAGTTTCAGAAATACTGGAGTGCTGCTGAGATGGAACGAGAAGTAGCAGAACAAGGAGGAGTAGAGGAGGCGAGAACAGGCCATGCAACAGATTTCCCATAGCTACTAGCGGGCTTCGCGAATGTGAGGTTCGGTTCATCGTTAGAAGTTGTTTTACAGCGCTAAGATTCGACCACAGCTGGTGGACATCAGCAACGGAGCTGCACCTGTTTCGAATCCACTGCCTTTCTAACCACCGAATAGTACGTATCCGACGCGCGACGGAATTCAGTGACTGAATTTAGTGTGAAAGTCAAACAATCAGACTGTGAAAGTCAAACGAGCAGCCATAACTCGACTTGATCTCTGAACAGACCAGGGAGGAGCTAAGGAAACTGGCATTAGGTCAGAATTCAGGCTTGTCAACAGCTTTCCGCCCAGAATCCTTTCAACCCTTTCGAAACGCTTACGACCGTAAAATAACCCACGATACCGAAACCGGATGTCACCCTCTGACCGCCACAAGAGAATATGAATCTCGGGGTGGCTGTTGACAGGATGTTGACCAATGGCTCTCGGGGACGATTCAATTATGAATCGGACGGCCAGAAACGCTGCAGAGGTCCATGAATTCTTCTAGAAGCGCTGACCGTCAAGTGTCAGCCATGAGATTGGGATTCCCGAAACACGCCCTGGCTGAGAAAATCGACGAATGGAGTGAAGTTGTGGAGTATGTTACGCGATTCTGCTTCGTTTGAAAACCAAATATTTAAGATTATTCCTCAGTAAGAATTCGGATTTTTTCAAGTACAATGTACAGCTACCTAACTAAAACGTTGTGAACCAATTCAGCTGCATCATAATGTCATGATCATACAATCAAGAACCAGAGGACCTAATTGTAGTCAGGTGAATCCCATCGCCTGGAAGAGATGTCTAATTGCGCAGACGGGGACCGCTGGTGCAGGTTTGGTCGCCGAGCCAAAGGCACAGGCCCAGGCGAGCGGCTCGGCCTGGGAGCAGATTGATCATGATAGCCCCCAGGACCAAAGTGCTGCTGCTGCTGCTGCTGGGGTAAATTACCACCACTATTTCCCAACAAAGCACTGCGTGCACTGGCAGCAAGTGACCCTCCTGGACCAGCACCTGAGCCAGCACCTGAGCCTGCACCTGGGCCAGCTCCTGGAGAAGGGTAAGCACCAAATCTACCACCAGCACCACCACCACCACCACTGCTCCCACCAGCGCTCCCACCAGCGTTCCCAGCAGCACTGGCCGCATTACCAAGGGTGAGTGCTCCAGTAGTAGCACCCAACCCAAAGTGGCCATGCTCGGGTGAGATGCTGTGTGAGCGACGGTGAGCATGCGGGCGACGGGGGGGCATGGTGGGGGGAGAGGGAGCAGAGAATAAATTATTGGGTGAGGTGATGCCTTCAGGAGAGGGAGGAAGTGCGGCGCTGTACCCACTGCTGCCACCGCCACTACCGCTGCTGCTGCTGATGTAGACACCACCAGCAATGCCGCCACCATCCCCACCACCACTACTGCTATAACCAGCAGCACCACCACCACTGAAGTTATACCCACCACCAGCAGCACCACCGGCACAACCCACACTACTAGTACCACCAGTGGCCCCTCCACCTGCACTCCCTGAAACAGACGATGAGCCATTTCCGAACGAAACACTGTAGTTGCCGGAACTACCACCACTGGAGCTTCGGGGGAGGCCCGGACGAGGAGGAGTGGCCCGAGCCTGTGACTGCTGGTGCGGGAGAGGTGGCGACGTCTGAGAGGGAGCAAATCCACTCTCTGCCTCCCTCTCTACTCCCCCCCCTCCTCCTGCTGCCATGGCTGTTCCTCCCGCTCCTCCTCCCCCTGTTGCTGCAGCCATGGCCGCCGCGGCTCTGATCGCCTCCTGACCCTTGGATATCTGACGCATCAACGGCCCCATGCGGATGCCTGGAGGCGGCACCAACACGGGGCCCAATGGCATCGCGCCACCTGTCACCGGTCCTGTGGCTCCTCCGGCACTCCCTGCTGCATCAGCTGGTAGAGCAGGCGGGCTGGGAATAGCAGCAGCTAGGGCTGGGTTCATTGAATTCGGCCCCACATCGACCATGGGCATATTAGGGTTTGCACCAGCACTGCCACTACCACCAGCACCAACAGCAGCAGCAGCCGCAGAAGAAGGAGGAGGAGGCGGCTTCGTCAAGGGTGATGTGTTTCTACTAGAGGCCTTGCCAGTAGGAGGGATGCTACTGGTTGATCCCTGGGCCAGATTTGCAATCACACCCAGTGCATTCGGGTTACCAATAGGATTACCAGTGCCGGGCAGAGGAACGTGAGTGGAAATGAGCTGCTTGGGCTGTGACTGGGACCGTTGGAGGGGAGTTCGGCGCGTGGGGGGGCGTTCCATAGTCGCTCCCCCCCCCGCTGCTCCCCCCAGCCCCCCTCCCCCTGATCCTCCCCCCATCGCTCCTCCCCCTGGCCCCCCTCCCCCAGAACCAGGCGAAGTGAACCCTCCCCCTGACCCCCCAGCACCAGCGTTTGGCGAGGTAAGCGAATTATGGTAACCGCTTGAATGCATGGACGAACTGGGTGGCGTGAGCGGGGGTCCTGCATTGAAGCCTCCCGGGCCCATGCCTGCCACCATACCTGCTGCCATGCCTGTTGCCGAGCCTGAATCTTCCGCCGAACCTGCTGACGCGGAACGTGGTAACCCTATTCTGTAACGGTCCGGCGTGCGAAGCCTCTCGGTTGCAGCTGGTACACCAGACACAGAACTACTTCTATTTTCCGAACTAAACCCAGACACACTATTCGCACAATTAGCATCGTTATTACCGTTGCTACCACCACCTAAGAGGCGGAAGAGCGGCGGGCATGGCGTGGGCAGCAGAAACGCGTGGTCTAGGAGCAACATAGCAGTAGGCCGGTTCGCCGGGTCGCGTTCTAAGCACCGTCGCAGCAAACTACGACACTCTGGCGACACTTCCGCCGGGATATGCGGCACCTCGAACGTGCTCCCTATCATATGCAGCACCGCATCTCGATCACACGCCCGCGCACCGCCGCCGCCGCCGCCGGCCGCGCTCCCAGGCGCCGCCGCGAAGCCCGCCGCTTCGAGCTGCGCAGTCCAGGGCGGCTCGCCGGTGATCATCTCGAGAACAGTACACGCGAACGACCAGATATCCGCCGCGCACCCCTGCGCCTCCTGGCGGACCACCTCCGGCGCCATCCAGCTGTACGCCCCCGCGCCTTGAAACCGCGCCGGCGGCGGCTTCCGCGTGCCGGCGGCTTCCGCGGCGGAGCCGTCGGCGGCGGGGGCGGCGGCGGCGCGGATCGCGGACCCGAAGCTGCATAGCTTCGCCTCGCCTTTGTCCCCGTTCAGGAGCACGTTGGCGGCGCGGACGTCGCAGTGGACGATTCCGCGCGCGTGCAGATCGCGCAGCCCCTCGCAGATCCCTCGCGCGTATCTCCGCACCAGCGCTTCCGGTAATCTCCCCCCGAATGAGGACATTAAGTCAGCTATGCTGCCGCCCGAAACGTACTCCATAAATATGCTCCTAACCCTAGCTCCTGGAACGGCGGCGTCGTCTTCCCAGTCCGCGCCCAATAGCCGCACGACACGTGGCGAGCCGCGAAGCTCCTCGAGGATCGCCTGCTCGTTGTCGAGCTGTCGCATGTCGCGCGGGAGCGCGCGCGACGACACGGATTTTGTGACGAAGATCTGACCGGATTCGGCGTGGAGGGCGAGATGAATTTTACTGCGCGGATCGCCACCAAGTTGTCGCCCGCGAATCCACTGCGGTGGGTCGCACGCCTGCGACGATCCGTGCGACGATCTTTGCGACCTGTTCGACATCGCAGACGACGGTCGCGACATCGGGCCTGCGGAAGATCCTGGTCGGGATGGAATATTGTACTCGGGCTGATGGAACCCGTTATTAGGCCCGTATGCGCCATTAACGAGGATGTTAGGTTTTGCGCCGGGATGGACAGAGTTGAGCTGTTGCTGCACCGAAGAGTTAAAATGCTGGTTAGATAAGTAGTTATTATTGATTTGGCTATTGTCGATGCGCAGAGGATCTAAGCTGGCGGAACGCAGCAGGTTACGCCGGCCTTCGGCGAAACCAGCAGACTGCATCGCGTGTGCTGTTAGATGCGCGGCAGCGACCGGCACTTGTCGAATCACGCAAATGCACTAACCCTAAAATGAATCAAATCAACCGCTAGACTTCGGCACTGGAGCTGGCTGAATATGGCTTCTCTCATAAATACAGTACATGATGAAGCTGAGAAGCTGACAGTGACGGAGAAAACTGGAGGAGAGCTGTACGGAACCGACACCAGACGAACAAGATACAGCAAACCAGCAGGAACAGGCTGGTTGAGTGACAGTCCGAGGAGAGAGGAGGCGAGGAGAGGAGAGACGGGTAGTGACTTGGAGGCCTAAAAGCGTGTTCAAAGTGAACAACATCTGTCGAGGGATGTCGGTGAATGTCAACCCTCGGATTGACGGAACCAACCGTCACGATTTACCGACGTCCCTCGACGTCGAGTCGACGAACGTCGATGTTCACTTTGAAGACGTGGTGAAAAGCGGTTCAGAGGGAGGAGATGAGGTGGAAATACACCCACAGGCCTGAGGCTCCAAGGGGAAACATGTGGAGGTGCTTGCAATTTGTGGAACACCCGTCTTGTACTGTAGTCTACTGTAGATGCAGGCACATGCTCACCCTGCAAAATCACTTCTGTACACGCAGACCACAAGCTAGAAACCGCCAAAACCAATCCCGCCACACAAACCAATAACAAACATCCGCGAAAACCCAAGTCAAGTCGCACAGACACTGTTGGGAGTGTCAATTTGCGATGGCATGCGAAGGCGGATTTGCAGCATGCGACAGGCCAACCCAGCACACCGATCCTGCAAATTTCCCCAGTCAAGTGGGGCTCGATGGTAGGGGTACACTGCCGATTTGCAGGTGGAGCACACTGGTGTGCACACCGAACCTGCCAAGGTCGGGGTGCACAGCCGATCTTGCCTCGAACCTGCTAGAGTTCTGGGAGTTGACGCGTCCTCATTGCTCACCAACCAAACCTGCCCCACCCTGCCAAAGTCGAGTTTGCCACCACCCCACGGACGGCAGCCTAGTGGGGGGAGGGAATCGAGGGCCACAAATGCTCGGCCAGGGGCAGCTGATTGGAGGCTTGGAGACGACGAACCAGCAGAGCTCCAAGATCACCAATGGCAGCCCGCGTACAGCTGGCACAAACTGGCCCATGGATGGTGTGGTGTGACGTGGTGGAGCAGTGGCAAGCGCCTCGATCATGAACCCGACCAGATAACACCGATGAATCCAACGTTTGATGCAAGTATTGATTTAACAAACCAGTTTTATCTCACCTCACCCCTCAGAAACCCCACAGCTGAATACCAACGGAAAATAGCGGAAACAGTATACGAGACACGATTTCTTCATGATAAAGGAATGCATTTGCATGTGAGTTGCATATTACAAATAACGTCCCTAAGTTTGTCATTCCCCGTTGCCACTACTCCCATTCCACTGTAGCTGGCGGCTTGGATGTGATATCATACACTACCCTGTTTACACCACTGACGCTGTTGCAAATGCGCGCTGAAACTTCACGGAGAAACTTCGTATCAAACTCAAACCTATGGAGCAGGTGAGCAGGGAAAGGAGAGAAGCGTGAGTGATGGGGAGGGTGAGTGAAAGAATTGCTCTTGCATCAGTGCTATACACATGGTGGTGAGCATTGTGTGTCCTGTCCAACTGTCCCGGAGCCTCCAACTGTCCTCATATCAATCCACATATCCCAATGTGTCTCTATCTGTGTTCATTTCATTCCATGCATCCCCATCCTGCCCCGCCCACCTACCCCAGAAGCCCACCTACCCCAGACGCCTACCTACTCACTCACCCCACTCCACTCACCAGTCAGCCGTCTTGGCTGGTGATAGCCCACAGAGCCACCACATGAGAAAGGGAGTGCGCCTGTCCCCGTGCACTCTCGCCAACCGGACCAACAGGTCCAGGTATCCCACCCCATCCAATCTCACCGTATCCCACTGCACCCCCTCCCATCCTCCTCACTCACCAGTCTGCCGTCATGCCGTCTTGGCTGGTGATCGCCCTGAGAGCCACCACGTGGGAGTGGGTGCGCCGGTCGCCCTGCACTCCCACCGACCGCACTGGCAAAAAGACGGCAAACGCCTGCCAGATCTGGTCGTACAGGCTGGCCTCCTTGATGGCATTGATGAAGATCTCATCCACCTGATTGATGGGGATGACACGGTTGAGAGCGGTAGAGAGAGAGAGAAAGAGAAAGAAGGCATTAAGGGAATGGTGAATGCGTGCCAGATATGATATCGTACAGCCTGCCACATCCTTGATTGTGTTGATGAATATCACATCCACCTGATGGGAGGAAGGCCCAAAGGGACATGAAGAGGGGGAGGAAAGATGGGGGGACACTCAGCGCCTGGCATATGATCGTACAGGCCCTGCCTCCTTGATGGCGTTGATGAAGATCTCATCCACCTGATGGGGGAAAGGGTGTGAGGGGCAGGGAGAGCAGAGGGAGAAGCAGCTGAGAGGGGTGATAGATGGAGAAGAGGCGGCGGAAGAACAGGCATGAGGGGAGCACACTGAGTTTCGAAAACACTGAATCGCATGGGCAAGGAGTCCCTTGGCAGATGCACTGAGAATTCTCAAAAGCGACTCAGAATTTGCCGGGAAAGACTCGCTGAGATTCTTGCAGACCAGGGCTTCCGGCTTGTGGATTGAATGGCCAGCGGGGCTTTTGAAGCATACTTGCGTGAAAAGTTTCGGCGCATGCTGAAGCAGATGAATGGGGTGGACTTTCGAGCCCATGCACAAGTTATCGACTGGTGCCCAGGCGTGATAAGCGCGTGACGAGTTACAAAAGGGCGAGTAGACATGCCCGCGCTTATCACGCCCAAGCGCCTGTTGATAACATATGCAAGGGCTCGAAAGTCCAAACTAATCATCTGCTTCAGCATGTCCTCCAGCACGCGAACTGCAAGGCCAGATCCTACGTGAGCACAGGTGCCTCTGATGGGACGTGATCTGTATTGGTGTTACTTTTGAGAACTCTCAAAAGTGAGCTCCGGTGCCATATGATGCGACGTGATCTGTACCTGGCGTACTGTTGAAAAGCCGACTACAAGGGCCACGCGTACCTGGCGAATGCTGTCCAGTGCCCCATCCGCACACACGACCCCAAGAACCCAAAATGCAAGGCTGAACACACCTGAGAAGAGGTGCTACCCATGATGCTATGTGATTTTTACCTGCAAAACAGCTGAGCAGTCTGTACCTGGCGAATGGTGTCCAGTGCGCCGTCCGCACACACGTCCCCCAGCACCCGAACCGCAAGGCCAGGTCCGGGGAATGGGTGGCGAGAGAGAAAGGAGGCAGGGACGTTGAGAAGAGCTCCAATCTTGCGCACCTGGGAGGGAGAGAGAGGAGAGGGGAGAGAGAGGATAGGGGAGAGAGAGGATAGGGGAGAGAGAGGAGAGGGGAGAGAGAGGATAGGGGAGAGAGAGGATAGGGGAGAGAGAGGATAGGGGAGAGAGAGGATAGGGGAGAGAGAGGAGAGGGGAGAGAGAGAGAGGGGGAGAGGGGGGGGGGGAGGACAGCAGGGAGGGAAAGAAACATAGTTGGTCTGTGGCATTCTGGAGGGAAGGGGGAGAAGGGGTGGAGGGAGAGGAAGGAGGCCGGGACGTTGAGAAGAGCTCCGATCTTGAGAAGATCTTGCGCACCTGGAATGAAGAAAAGGGAGAGTGGGGAAAGAAGGAGGGGTCGGTGGGGGAAGAGGGAAAAGAGCGGAAAACGTGAGGGATAGGAAGGAGGCAGGGACATTGAGAAGAGCACCAGGGACGTTGCGCACCTGGAGTGAAGAAAGGAGGGTGAGAGGGATGAGGGGGGAGATAGGAGAAAAGAGGAGGGGTAGGAGACAATGAGAGTAGGGACGGGAGAAGACTGAGTTGGGGACTGGAGAAGAAGCTGGGGAGGGGGGCGAAGGGGAAGAGGCGGAAGCGGGAGATGGGTGGGCGGGGGGGGGGGGGGGGGGGGAGAAGGGGGGAAGAAGGTGAGAGCAGGTGCGCAAGAGCAGGTTGTCTCCCCGCCATTGCTCCCCATCCCCCACCACTATTTCCTCCCCACTCCCACCCCACCCCTCTTCCTCTCCCCCTCCCTCACCTCGTCCTTGACCAGCCATTTTAGGGGCTCCACAAGGTAAAGTGCATATTCTCAGGTAAACCATCCAATCCCCCTCTCTCCCACTTCCCTACCCCCTCCCTCACCTCGTCATTTAAGAGCCATTTTAGGGGCTCCACGAGGGTGGTAAACTTTATAACCTCGGGTAAACCACCCCATCCCTCTTATTTTCCCCTTTCGCCCTCCCTCACCTCGTCCTTGAACAGCCATTTAAGGGGCTCCACGAGGGTAAAGCGCATATTCTCGGGTAAACCACCCACGTTGTGATGGCTCTTGATGGTGTGCGAGTGCTTCTTTCCACTGCCGGGCGGCGGGCACGACTCAATCACGTCCGGATACAGTGTACCTGGACCAGGTTGGGGAGGGTGGGGCCGGGAAGCAGGGGCAGGGGTGAGACTAGAGGGGGTGGAAGAGCAGTGGGCACGACTCAATCACGTCCAGATACAGTGTACCTGAAATAGGTTGAAAGGGGAGAGGGGGGAGTGGGAGGGGGTGAGACGGGCGCGCACGACTTCATCACGTCCAGATACAGTGTACCTGAAATAGGTTGGGGGAATGGGAGGTTACTTTGGAGGACTTCATCACGTCCGGATACAATGTACTAGGAGCAGGTTGGGTAGGAAGGGAAGGAGGAGGGGGAGGGAGCAGAGGCAGGGGCAGGGGTGAGCGAGGGGGATTTACAATCACGTTCGTTCAGCTACAATGCACCTGGGATAGATTGTGTGGACAGCTCAATTACATCCAGGTACAGAGAACCTGAGAAAAGGTTGGGATGGTGAAATGGCCTGGACCCAGCGCCTCTTACCCTCCTTCCCTCGCTCCCCCTCGCTTCAACCCCACACAACCAATTCCGCACCTTGCACCAAGCACCAGGCACCAGGCACCAGGCACCAGGCACCAGGCACCAGGCACCCTGGTCAGTGCCCAAGCTTTGCCTCTAGCTCGCTCGCTAAGTCATCACATACTCCGATGAACTCCGCCCCAATGATGCGCCTCTTGCTCTCCCTCCCTCCCCCCCTCTCCCTCTTAGTATGGCTCACCTTGCACCAGGCACTCGGGTCGGTCGGTGCCCAAGCTTCGCCTCTAGCTCGCTCGCTAAGTCGTCAAACACGCCGATGAACTCCGCCCCAATGATGCGCCTCTCCTTCTCGGGATCTGCGACGCCCTTTCACGGTAGCTAGCAGCCTCACGCCACAACCACCCACCCACCTTGCAACAAGCACTCTGGTCGGTGCCCCGATTTCGCCTCCAGCTGGCTGGCAAAGTCGTCAAATACGCCGAGGAACTCCGCCCGGATGATGCGCCTCTTCCTCTCCCTCTCTTCCTCTCAGGTTCTCATCCCCCTTTCAAAAGTTACAGTTCACTTCACTCACCTTGCACCAGGCACTCTGGTCGGTGCCCCAATTTCGCTTCTAATTCACTCGCAAAGTCGTCAAATACGCCGATGAACTCTGCCCCAATGATGCGCCTCTTCCTCTCGGGATCTGTGACGCCCTTGAGCTTGGAGAGGAAGCGGTCAGACGCGTCCACACAGGTGACTGGAAGATGCAGGTCCGCCTCAAACATCGCCATCACCCGCTGCTGCTCCTGGAATCTGGTGGGGGGAGGGGAGAGGAGAGGGAGGTGAGGGGGAGGGGAATCAAAGGCGGTCAGAAGCGTCCACACAGGTGACTGGCAGATGTAGGTCCGCTTCAAACATCGCCAACACCCGCTGCTGCTGCTGCTGGAACCTGGTGGGAGTGTGGGGAGGGGAAAGGAGGGTGGGACGGTGCAAGGGGGTGGGGTGGGGTGGGGCGGGGTTGACGGAGAGGGGGCTGGAGGTTAAGGGTTGGGTTGTTTGATATGAGAAAGGGGGCTGAATTCACTGAGTGATGCACCTCTTCCTCTTGGGATCCGTGACGCCCTTGAGCTTGGAGAGGAAGACGCGTCCACACAGGTGACTGGCAGGTGTAGGTCCGCCTCAAACATCGCCATCACCTGTACCTGCACCTGGATAGCCATCACCCGCTGCTGCTCCTGGAAGCTGGTGGGGGAGAAAGAGTGCGTGCGGGAAAGGGGTGGGTGGGAGGGTGCGGAGGGGTGGGGGTGGGGGTGAGGGAGAAAGGTTGGGAATTAGGGGTTAGGGTTAGGGCTGTGTCTTCTCCTTCCCCAACACTACAGAACCGCACTAAACCCAGCTGAATCTCTCCAAGCCCCTGCTCGTGTACCTTTCACCGCAGCAGTCTGTTATCCACGAAAATGCAGTGCAGGCGATCCCCAATCACCCGGTGCACCTGCTTGGCCTCTACAGTTGAGCCAGCACCCCTTTCTTTCACTGCTCCACCACTTCAAAACCACATTGAACTGCACTAAACCCCGCAAAAAACTCACCGCAGTAGCCCATTGTCGACAAAAATGCAGTGCAGGCGATCCCCAATCGCCCTGTGCACCAGTGTGGCCGCTACAGTCGAATCAACGCCGCCCGACAGCGCGCACACCGCATGCTTCTCCGGCCCCACTGCCGCTTGGACGGCTGAGATCGCCTCATCCAGCACCTCCTGCATCTGCCAGTCAGCGTGCGCGCCCCCGATGTCGAAGATCACGCGGCGAAGCGTCTCCATGCCCCTGGGGGTGTGGGTCACCTATTGAAGGGGGGAGGGGAGGAGGGTGGGAGGGGAAAAGGAGAGCAGGTGAAAAGGACACTCTACCCCGTCTAAAAGCACCTCCTGCATCTGCCAATCAGCGTGCGCGGCCCCAATGACAAACACCATGCGGCGAAGCGTCTCCATTCCCCTGGGGGTGTGACTCACCTGTGCGTGTGGAGAGGGAGAGGAAGGAGGGAGAGGAGAAAGGGGAAAGGGGAACAGATGAAAGGACACTCGCACACATGCACAAGCACCTCCTGCATCTGCCAGTCAGCGTGCGCGCCCCCAATGTCGAAGACCACGCTGCGAAGCGTCTCCATTCCCTTGAGGGTGTGGGTCACCTGTGTGTGCGGGGAAGAGGGATGAGGGAGTCAGCGTGCATGGCCCCTGAGTAGCGGTACTGCAATTTCCCGTAGAGCTGAAATGAATATGTGTGCAGTACCCTCATGGTTTCTCCCTTTAGGCACTCTGGCCTCTCGCCCCTCGCCCCTCGCCCCTCGCCCCTCGCCCCTCCCCCTTCGGCCCCTCGCCCCTTCCCCTTCGGCCCCTCGCCCCTCTCCCCTCTCCCTTCACCCACCTCAGGGTGGTATTGCAGGCCGAATATCTTGCGTGTAGTGCACTCAATCGCCACCACCGTGCCTTGATCACTACGCGCCACCACTCTGAACCCCTCTGGAAGCTTCGTCGCCTCGTCTCCATGGCTCATCCACACCGTCTGTCGGGGACAGGGGTTTAGAACGCAACAGGAATTATAAACCGAGACAGGTGATTATAACAGGACCAAGTGCTTGTAGCGGGGACAAGAAAAGTGTAGTAAAATTCTTCGATGGCTTCGTCGCCTCGTCGCGGTGGCTCATTCACAGAGTCTGCCGGGGACAGGGTTTTTGTAACAAAAGCAGGTAACTGTAATCAGGACGATATGAGAAGTTCGTAAACCCCTTGGGTAGCTTGCCGAATAAATAAAAGTAGTACAATAACATTCTGTGACCCGTTACCTGTCGCGCATAGAGGTGGTAACCCGTTACCTGTCGCGTCTCATTCTTCGCCTTCTTCTTCTCAGGTTCCTCCCCTCCCACATCGCTCCCGCCAAAGAGCGCCGAATCACAATCCGCCACGATATCCATCCGTCCGTACTCCTGCGCCTCGGCTCGCGCCACGTCACCACCCAACGTCTTCACGATCAGCTGCATTCCGTAACAGATCCCGAGAACCGTAATACGCTTCTCTATCGCATAGTCGAAAAAACCCTCGGGAACCGTCGGCGAGCCTTCCTCGTGCACGGAGTTTGGCCCGCCGGAGAGAACGATGATCGTCGGATGGACGGCCTGGATCTGATCTAACGGCACGCCGGCCGGCAGGCTGACGGAGTAGACTCCGAGCTCGCGAATGCGGCGCGTGATTAGCTGCGTGTACTGTGATCCGAAATCGAGAACGAGCACGACGGATCGTTTTGACGAGGTCAAAACGGACGGCGGAACCCCTTGGAGGGTTTCTGAAGGGGTTACCGACATTTCGGCAGCGGCATTCGCGGCGGTTTCATGGCCGTTTTCTGCAGCTGCAGCCATCGCCGTTTTGCGATCCTGTGCTGGGTTGATCACTCCACCGTTTAACGATCGGAGAACGTCGACTGACGACAAAGACGTTGCAAGACGAAAACAATGGTGTCGCAAGCGACCTATTCCTAAAATGAGGCGGCGAATGGCCTCTGGGAGCCTTCAGAAGAGAGAAGCGGATGAGGGGGACAAATGAGAGGGAAAAGCAAGGGAATGAATTAGGGTGGTGGTGGTGATGAAAGATGGTTGACATGACAAGCGGTGGGGGGGTTCGCAAATTTGACCGTTCGGCTTGGACAGAAAAATTCTGAACGCGCAGCCGAAATGACAGTTTCAAGGCTGCCCGTCAGACGAGCCTTGAGATTTTCTCGCAGTTCGCAGAGGGGCCTTGGGGGAGTTTCGCCATAAGGCACCTAGATATCGAAGAGTGAGCGACAGTTTAAAGGAATCAATCAATAGTATAAGTGGATATACAATATAAACAAAAACACAAGCACTGTGCATGGTTCAAAAGCTATATTACACGCTTCCCAAAGAGGAACACGCCCTTGCCTTCACTCCGTGTAGTATCGGTCTCATTTCCTTCAGCATCTTGTATAGTGTGGTTTTGTACACATGTGCTTACACCCTGGCTTGTCGGAATCAGTGGCACTTGTACACCTCCTGTAAGCCTGCTGTCGTCAACCATATTCACATCCCTTTCAACATCCACAGACGGCTGTTGTTGCAGCGCCGTAACTTGAGGCACCTCTGTTTGTGTTTCATGATGACTAAACCCCGAATATGCAATTTGCTGCCGCAGGCTTTCCCCGTCGCTCCCTTGATGTAGGTTGTCCTTTAGATGCTTCGCAACTAGATCTTGTGCCCATGCACTCCGTGCCACAATCATACGACCCCTCACAGGGACGCCCCCTTCCGTACCTTTCAAAGGAGCTGCCGGACCAGCCATAGGTCCGGCCGGACCCCTCTCCTCCCCTACCAAACCTCCTGTGGGCATCGCCAAGCCTGCTGCCGGACCTGCAGCACGCAGTGTATCCGGCCGTTCAGGCACGTGCGTATTCAACGACGAAAATCCCCTGGTGGTTCGCAAAAGCGCTGCTGAGAACGCCGTTGCCGATGCCGACGCTGCTGTCTCTTCCTGTGGCTGCTTGGGCTGGTTAGACCCCATCATAGCTTGCGACAGCCGAGCATCCTCCGCGGGCCCACCGCTGCTTCCGATGGCCGGATCTAGCCCTTGTGCTAGCAGCAGAGCACGCTGCCAGAGACGTTGTTGCTCAAGGGGAGGCAAGGAGGTGCCTATTGAAGGTGCTGCTGTTGTTGCAGCAGGGACGGCGCTGGAGATGGGAGGTGAGAGAGAGGAGGAGTGCAGCATGGCTGTGGGATCAGAGAAGGAGTATCCATGCAGAGGAGGAGAGGTGGTATGAGTGGCGGAGCGAGGCGCAGCCGGGGTGAGAGGAGGGGAAGGAGCATGTGTGTGTGGAGCGTACATGCTTGGACTGTGGACGCCCGAAGTGTGCATGGCTGCAGGCACGGAGCGAGGGCTTTTCATGTGGGCGTGCGAGGCTAGCAAGGTGTGAGAGACGTGAGAGTCATGAGAGGGATGAGAGGCCTGCAAGGATGAGAATGGAAGCTGCTCACATGACGGCAATCGGTGCACCACACCTCTCAGTTTTGCCACAGCAGCAGACGCACCTCCCTGTGAGGCTGACTTTGGAACTTTCTCATAAACATCTCCCAGCTTAGCCACAGCAGCGGATGAGCCACCCAGTGGGGCTAACTTGTAAGAATTCTCAGAAACACCTCCCAGCTTAGCCACAGCAGCAGATGAACCACCCTGTGGGGCTGGCCAGCCGGAAACAGCAGCAGTCGGGGCAGCGACAGGCCAGCCGATTACAGTGGTGGTGCCGAGGAGAGCAGCTGGTGCACCCATAGCGTGTCTCCCATCAACAGCACTGTCACCGGGAGAATTACCACCAGCAGCAGCATTGCCAGCAGCAGCAGCAGCAGCAGCAGCACCAGCAGCAGCAGCAGCGGTTGCGTAGGCTCCCGGAGCAGCAGCAGAAGAAGCAGGAGAGTGTGGCCACGAGAGAGACCCGAACACATGGGGCCAATTCAGCCCAAGAGAGAGGTCGTGCAGGAGAGGAGCGGTGATGCTTCGGGTCATTGTCACTGCGCCGGGTTTCAGCAAGAAGCCCTCGTTAAAATCACCTCCGAATCGGTGGCCGGACAGGTCCATTGGAGCGCTACTAGTGGCATCGTCTGCATCACCAGCATCATCCTCACCAGAGTCCGCACCAGCAGCACCAGCACCAGCAGCACCAGCACCAGCCGCACCAGCAGCACCACTGGCACCAGCGACACCTGGAGCGAATTCGAGTATTGGACCAGCTTGAGGTTCGGGCCCGGGAGTTACATCCATGGGAGCCCAATTCGTGGAAACTTCTGAGGGGGATGTGCTGAATGACTGGCCCAGAGCTTCCGTTCCTGCACGCGGCGGCCCATACGCAGCAGGATATGCCTGCATGGGCGAGGGTGCACTCTCGTCTGTTACGTGCTCGGCTTGAAGCTGATTGGGGGACTTTGAGCTGCTGGTGATACGAGTTGGCTGCTGCTGCTGCTGAAGCGGCTGCAGCTGAGGCTGCTGCTGTTGGGATGCCAGCCGGGCGCGGAGGTTACGGGCGATGGCAGCAGCAAGCATTTTGTTGCATGAGTCCTCAAACTCCCGTGATGCATCATCCCTCCTTGCTTTCCCACGGCCCCTAGGAGTAGCAGCGGGAGTAGTAGCAGCAGCGGGAGTAGTAGCAGCAGCGGGAGTAGTAGCAGCAGCAGTACCTGCAGAAACAGTAGTACCATCAGCAGCAGCAAGCATCCTGTTGCATGAGTCCTCAAACTCCCGGGATGCTGCCGCTGAACCGTCTCGCCGTGCCTTCCCACGGCCCCGAGGAGTGGTAGCAGCAGCAGCAGCTGTAGCAGCAGCGGCTGTAGCAGCAGCGGCAGCTGGGGCAGCGGCGGCTTTAGCAGCAGCAGCACCTCCGCTCACTCCGCCGCTTCCCCCGCCTCTACCGCCGCCGGCGCCGCCCGCGGCGGTGCCAATCTGCTCGCGCTTCCTCCTGCTGCGCTCCCGGGGAGACTCGTCTTCGAGGAAGCTTCCTACATGGCGCTTGTACGCGGAATCCGGAGCGGAAAACGCTGCCGCCGCAGCCCCCGCGTTGCCGGGCGCCGCGGAGGCAATTGTCGCGGCTTCAGGTGGCGGCGGGACGCGGAACAACGGCCGCACCATCAATGCCGCCTCCGGCGCCTCTACTAGCGCTGCCGCCGCTAGTACCACCGCTGCTGTCGCTTTCGCTGGGGTTGAACGCGGCGCGTCGGGGTTCAACGAGCCTTTTGGACCGCGCTGACCTTGGAGCAGCACTGCCGGCGTAGAGTCGCCAATTTCATCGCCCGCGTCGCCAGTTCTGTCGCCCGCTGCATCGCCCGCTCCATTGTCGCCCACCTCGTCGGCCATCTCGTCGCCCGCTCCTCCCGAGTCGCGGCGCATGCCGCCTTCCATTCTGCGACGCGTTGTTGTCGCGGCACTGCCACAGGCAGTGTCAAATTCAGTTCACCGTGGAATAGAAGCTTCGATTTACGGTCCGACTGTGAATTAATCACCGGCGCCTCGTCGCCTTTGCGACCCGTCGCCGCTTCTTGTGAACCCTGCTTCTTGTGGCGTCCTCACTGCCAGTGGATTTCGTGATGTCCGCTTCGTGCGACGTCCGCTGCAGTCACCGTCACTACTGGTGCGAGCTGTCACGCAATCCGTACATCGAGCGACGATTGCGGCGGGGACCGCGACTATGCCGTACTACTAATCGTTCGGCACGTCCAAAGTCGAAATCTCGAATCGGATGATGTAGATAGGAAGAGGAAACTCGACGCGCGTTCACTGTACAACTATTATTGCAATTAAGGTACGTGGAATTCGAGCAGCGGCACATTCTGATACTCAATCTGTCGGTAGCTCTGGTTGGGAATGAATGACAGGCACCTCTGGTCTGTTATATCAAAAGAATCAGAGTCTGGTCGGGACTTCTTGGGCTGCATATCCCTGATTTCCGAAATCGTTCGCGGCGCGGAGGTTGGTTGGATCCGAAAGCCGGGGATCCCGGCGGACCGGAAGTTCGGAACATACGTCGAGTCGAAAGTTGCGGAACTAGTAATAGTAGTAGTGTAGCTGTTCTGAACTGTTGATTCCTAGTGCGCGAGGTGGCAAACAGAACCTTCTGAGGCTGTCACTCTTGTACGTATTCGAGTTATATCAGGCCAACTGTGCGTGCCCCTTTGTAGTGTTCTGCAGACCACCAGAGTTGAACTCTGTGTCACACGGTCACTGTGTGTGTTCCCCCAAGGAGTCCTCCCTTCGACTCCTTACCTCAGTGGCCTATCTGAGCCGTCTAGGCAGCTCGCAGGGAGAGGCCGAGCAAGATTTTAATTTTGATGTTGTTCGCGTGCCTGCGGTGCGGTACGGTGCGGCTCGTTGCGGAGGTCCCAGCGTGCGCGTGTGTGTTGTGAGGTGGATAAGGGCGAAGCCTTGACTCCATCGTGGAAAAGGAAATTTGCGATTTTGGGGGTCCGAAGGTTTTTCTGATAAAAGTCTGCGGTTTTCTTGCGCGAAGTATACAGAAAACAACGACCCCAAAAAGCAACTCTGCATACACCTATTACGAAAGTGCATACCGGCGCCAAAAGGTCACTCTTTAGTAACGAAAATATCGCGTATTCGGTTTGGAGCGGTCAAGACATATAGAAAACGGTTCCTTATTTTGTTTGCTCCCACGAAAACTAGCGAAAATGTGAGTGTAGATACAACAATTTCGTGAATACACTAGTCAGAACGCATTCGCTTTCTGAACACTTGGACTGTACACGTGGTCGCAAAACATTCGTTTTCTTCAAATATGCATCCCAATCACCCAGCCTAAACCACAGTCGCACACCTGGTTGGTTCTGAAGGGTGACGAGTGATCGCAAAAAAATCATACTCAGCC